ATAGGATTTGAATATGAATTATTGGTTTCATTATTTGAATTTTCATCTACCGGTACTAAGGCCTCCTCAGGGACTATTTCCTCATTTACTCTTTGAGGACACTTCAGCAATTGGTCTATGTGTCTTTTCTCTACAGAGCCATCATGAACTTTCACTAAGTAATGTCTTTCTCCACTTAACCTTGCACCCATTTTTCTTTTCCTCTATAATTTCTCACTTGCACTGAATTACCCAATTTCAACACACGACAGCCACGTGAAACAGTTCAGTTCGCCATGGACTCTTGTTCTACTGCCACTTTCTTCGTAAAAGATGGAAATATTAAATCCAAACGAGTGCACAGTTTCCTTCCCATCAGCAGCACAGACGGGGCGATTCCTGTTGTAGAATGTGGAGTGATACTATAGGAAAGCAGGTATCTTTGTAGGACAGTCTCAGCATCTTGCTTTAGTACTTCAACTTGACGTAAAGCTGGCTTAAGTACTTAAACTACTCTTTCTGCTTGACCATTCATAGAAGGTTTATATGCTGAGGATGTACGATGCAAAATACCGGTTGTTAAGCAGAAAACGCAAACTCTTTTGAAGTGAATTGCGGGCCAAAATCTGTGACTAGAATCTCAGGTAATCCGTGTCTACTGAAAACCTCACGGAGAATCTTTACCGTTGCCTCGGCCATAGTACTCATCATTTGAACTAATTCAGGATACCTATTGTAAGCATCGACAAGTACAAAGTATATCTTTCCCGAGACTGGACCTGCAAAATCAGCATGAAGTCTTGACCAAGGTTTGGATGGAAAAGTCCAGATGAATTTGTGCAGTAGGTGGATCTGCCCTCATGGATTGACATACTTGACATGAAGAAAAAACAACTTCAATTTGCTTGTCCAGATTGGGCCTCCAACCATAGGACCTTGCCACTGCCTCGGTGTGTCTCATGTAGTTCTCCAAGTATGTCCCCTTGCAGTGCAGTGGGAATTATGACACGAAGTCCCCATAGAACACACCCTTGTTCAATGCTGATTTCATCTCGACGCTGTAGGAAAGGTTGTAAACTTGGATCACACTCATCAGTACTTGGCCATCCACACTGAGCATATTTCAGAACTTTGGATAATATTGGATTTACTGCAGTTTTCTTCTTGATCATTTGATGTGTTGCAGTTGTGAGGATGTCTGTTTCAAAGAAGTAGCAATTTACAACCTCACTGTCACAGTTCACTTTTGTAGCCAGAGGAACTCTTGACGAGCTATCTGCATCAACATGAGCAGCCATGTTCCTGTATTCTATCTTGTAGTTGTATGAAGCCGACTTAAGTGCCCATCTTTGCAGTTTGGCAGATGCATGTGGTGGAACAGGTTTCTCTGGGCCAAACAAGGAAACCAATGGGCGGTGATCTGTAATCAACGTGAACTGCCAGCCGTAAAGAAACCGTCTGAATTTCTGAACACCATATACAAAGCTTAGGGCTTCTTTATCTAACCGAGAATAGTTTTTCTGAACATCTGTTAATGTACATGAGGCAAAAGGAGGGCCACCAGACTGGCGCCTGCCCTTTGACACCTCAGCTACGCTGAGTGATTGGAGCGCCTGAACTTGCCTAGCTTATATACTACAGACAGGCAAGGGGTGACCTAATTGAGGTGTATAAGCATCTCAAGGGGCACTACTCAGTCGAGTGTCCTTACTTGGAGGTGGCGGACACTCGCCCCACAAGGGGTCACAGCTCAAGATTGAAGAAGCCGCAAGTCCAGAAAACTGCGAGGGCAAACTTTTTCGTTGTGAGAGTTGTGAACTCTTGGAACAATCTACCAGAAAGTGTTGTGACGGCACCGAGTGTGAGCTCTTTCAAGACAAGACTTGAGCGGGTTCAGGTACATTCAGGAGCCAGTGCATGCCCAGTACTTGCCAACAGTGTGTAACAGAGACGTGACCAATCGCCCAAGCGGCTAACGAGCCGATCTTTTGGTGAAGAGGATAAAAGAAAATAAAAGTAATCAGAGACATGACCGATCGCCCAAGCGGCTAACAAGCTGATCAGTGATGGAGAGGATAAAAGAAAAGAATTAAAAAAAAGAATAGGTGACAGCGGTTTCTCGCCCCCACAAGGCACCCCGAGTAGTATGGGGGTGTGTAAACTTCAGGCGGGTGAGTGGCAGATCTTCAAAGGGTCACTTTGGGGTACATGCTTTACAAATGATCCAAAACTACAACATTTTACAATTCACCAAATCGCCAGAGATACGAAGGCCTCAACCTACTTTCTGCCTCTTAAAATAAATTCAGTCATTTAAATTTTTCCATTTTCTAGAACACGGTTGCTATTTCTATTCTTATATAAACGTGAAAATCACAAAGAAAACAAACCATTAGCCAAGACACCAGAGAACACATTAAAATCTCCAGCAAGCAAACAGCTGTCATTATAAAATGCACCACAATCAGGCAAGACACCACCAAAAAGAATTTTACTGGAGTAACTGAGTAAATGTCTATTTAAATAACATAATATTACACAAAATATGTTTGAAGTTAAACTTATAAAAAGTGAAAAGAAAAATATAAGAGTACAGGTACAGTACCTACTGATAATGTACACATCACAGAGCAATAGTAACAAACCATTCCCTCAAGACATCACCCAATCAAATACTAGTGATCACATTACCCCAAAATTAAACTCGGCACCTGAAGGAGTTCATAGATTTGCACCAAAATTTCTGTCGACGTTATTTGGAAACAACAATGCACATAACCTAACAGAACCTTGTGTAGACTACCAGGCTATTCAACTGGTGATAGCATAATAGCCAGTCTACATACTGTACAGTATACAACACAGAAAATGTAAACTAGAAGCACAGTTTTCCCAACAATCTCAGGATGGTGTTTTTGGTATACAGTAATTGTATTTATAGTTTTTCAGTGTTTACATGACCAAATAAAATTGCAACAATAGTTACTGTATGTTCATTGCTCCCCAAAAATTTTGGTTTTATGTAATTTACTTATCAGGCTTGAGTTAAATAATTTTTCTAAAGTACAAGTACAGTAATTTGGGGAAGTACAAGGCCAGTATACTTGATATAGAATATTTGGTCAAGTAATTCCAAGGGTAGAGATACTGTAGGTATAGCCCAACCACGGAACTCTATACAATAGTATGTATCGATATGTATACGTATTGGGAGATGGGAAAAAAAAAAAAAAAAAAAAAAAAAAAAAAAAAAAAATATATATATATATATATATATATATATATATATATATATATATATATATATATATATATATATATATATATATATATATATATATATATATATATATATATATATATATATATATATATATATATATATATATATATATATGTTGATGATTGTCTCTGGCCATGTAATGAGGACCTAAAAGCTTTCCTGCCACAACTTAACAACTTAGCCCCCTCGATCAAATTCACTGTGGAATTAGAGCAAGACTGTAAATTGCCATTCCTAGACTGTCTGATACACAGAATAGGTAACACTTTTAAGTTCAGTATCTATAGAAAACCAACTGTTCATACATTCATTATTATTCTGCCCACCATAATAAAGTCAAACAGTCAGTATTTTCAACAATGTTTTTACGTGCCTTGAGAATTTGCAGTCCGGAATTCATCGATGAGGAATACAAATATATATATATTGGCTCAAACCTTAAATACCCTAGATCTTTCATAGACAAATGCCTAAACGTTACTAAGAAAACTTTTTATAGAACTGATCCCAAGCCCACCCATGACCATAAGAATATCTTAATCTTACCATTTCAAAAAAATTTCTCACACATTCCTTCACAACTAAAAACCTGGAACGTCAATGTGGCATTTAAAAACTCATGCACTGTTAAACAAATGTTAATCAAGAACTCCCCCAACAACACAATTGGTTGCATTTATAAAGTTCCTTGCAAGGAATGTAATATGTTTTACTTAGGCCAAACAGGTAAAGATCTTGCAACTAGAATTAAACAACACAAATACAGTGTTAGGACAGGCCAGGAATCCAATGCGCTGTTTGTTCATTTGAGGGATAACAAGCATTGCATTGACTGGGATAATGCCTCCTCAATATTACCATGTAATTCAATTGATAGTAGGAACATCATAGAATCTAGTCTTATTAAACATACTGAAGCATTCAACATGAATTTGAGTAACGACTTGTACAAGCTGGACAATTATGTAATTAAGAAGATTTGTGACCAGGTGAGAAGGCCGGGTCACCTGACCAGACCACCAACCGTTGTGTGCTATTTAAAGATTAGTAGGGTCATTACCTAATACCTGACCATTGTGGACCTGGTCTCACCCTCCTCTGTATATATATACACCTTGATTTGTATTTCTCTCTCTAGTCTGTACTCACCCCTGAAGATGTGAATTACACGAAAGCGCTTGGGAACTTCGTGTTTTCTTCTTTCCTTGTGGTTATCATATATATATATATATATATATATATATATATATATATATATATATATATATATATATATATATATATATATATATATATATATATATATATATATATATATATACATACATACATACATACATACATACATATATATATATATATATATATATATATATATATATATATATATATATATATATATATATATATATATATATATATATATATATATATATATATATATATATATGCAAGTAAATCACTGTAGGTGCGTGTGATCCAGGTATATGCTGATAACCACAAGAAAACACGAAGTTCCCAAGCGCTTTTGTGGAACGTCAGACCATAATTAATGAGTGTACCTGTAGTGACTTTTACTCACCTGCCCACCACTTGGCAAGCATAAAGTTAAACCTAAGGTCAAAAGTTAAATATCAGAAGAAAAAAAAAGAGATATTTGTAACATGCAATGCCTGTATAGCAAGAACATCTTGAGAGAACCAAATGGACACATTGGAAGGATAAAAATAAATTCATATGCCTTTAATTTTACTTTTAATAAAATTTTCTATAAATACTCTGAATTTTTGTTTAGTTTTTACATCCAATCTGGAGATAACACTAAAAATAAAGTATGTAAATTTTCTTCCTTTATATGCCAACACAACGTGATCTGTTTTCCGTTACCCTCATATCACACATAATATACCTACCAATAATCCCTCCCATGCAGAATCATGAACAACAATTGCCCATTTCAAATCTCTATCAAAATGAGCTTTCAAAATCTTGCACTAAAAGGATCCCATGACATACATTTGTACACTGTACACTTTCATCACACACAATCACACAAAACACAAATGAAAAGAAATTTCTACACATGTTCACAAATTTTACACATCCTCTCACACACAGAAAAATCACTGCCAATGCTATTGATCACCATGACAATGGAACCGCATTCTATATGTTTACTTAATATTCAAAGACATTTAACCAGCAGAGGGGAAAAGTCCTCCATAGTTCAATATAAATTTACTATTATGTGTTAACAGATATCTAACCAGCAACTTAGAGAAGCACTCGTCTTCAAATATAAATCTTATCTAACATTACGGACAAGAGGCCACTTCAACTGCAATGCTAGTGAGACATCTGCTGTTACTATGCATAAAGGAAACAATATCTGTGATTTGTACTTCATTACACACCTTGCTCTGTATCATCTGTGCATGTATTGTACCTCAACATGCAGGACGAAGTGCATATGCAAATGGGGAAAAGTTAACCTGAAGAACAACTTCAGTGCATTAGGGAGCTTTATGAGTGTAAAGAGTAATATTGTTTTGTGCATTTGCCACAATCTGCATCAAAATTTTGTCAGAAACCCTTGTCTTAAAGCAAAATACAATTTGTTTACCAAGTGCAAGACCACACAATTCCCATTATCAATGACATTACTGATGACCATTAAGACATGTGCAAACTAAGTGAAAATTACTTCCTTACCTCCTGTAATACTCTCCAATATATTTAAGAATAACTTAAAAATCACCAAGTTATACCATCAACTGGCAGGAGCTTAAAACATCTCATGTTCAAGGAAATTTAAATCATTCAAAACTAATAAATTAAAAAGTAACAGGAATACTCATTCACCTGGACTTACTGTCATGATTGTATAATCTATGGTGACTATAACTGAATCCTTGTGTTCAGAAACTCAATTAATGAACTTGTTAAATTCTATTTTTGAATATTAAAAAAATTATTGTAAACAGAATGAAATCTTACAAGAAATGAAATGTTGGTTTAATATAATTATACAATATGAAGTTCTTGATTCCTACTAATTTAAAATACATACCTCATGGGCAAAAACCATAACTGAACTTAAGACTACAATTAGAAACTAAAGGAGGGATGAGTAGATGATCTATCAAACTGCTACTGTACCAAAGTACAATCTCTGATGATTAATTATGCACAATACAGCTGTATGACCCCTAATCACCTACTGCATTACCATTAATGAGAAAAAATCCAGTCCATTTGTGTTCAAAGTGCACACCAATAAATCATATTAAGAAGAAAATAAAAGGTGTATGCATGAAATCACCAATTTTTTGCAAAATTTCATTACTCCAAATTAAAAATGTGCTCAATGGATTACATTGGTATAGTACTTGTAAACTGGATTGTGCATGACACCTTCAACATATTGACTTTATGTCATGTGGTAATAACCACTGACTCAAATTAGGAAAAAAATTAAATAAATATTTAATTCAACAGCCTACCGTCTTTGCTTATGGACCAGTCTTACAGGGTCATCTCTCATGAAAATGGGTACACTGCTTAAATTTTTAAATGCTAATAAAGTTCTCCAGGCACAGTTTTACAATAGCCTCTTGGTCCTTTTTAGGCACAATATAAACCCATTTTTGAGAAGTTTAGGTTGGGATTACAAAGATGCATTCTCAAAAAGAGCACCTTTGCTTACAAACATTTCTGTGAAGGGTCCTTCTTGTGTGAGTTCCACAGCTTGTAATTTCTTTAGTACTAGCATGGTGTAGAATTTCTGAGCCACCTGTTGGATGAGAAACAAGGGTCACTGATATTCACCTGTCAACTTTGTCTTCTATCAAAGGGCAACTCTCTATCACCAAGTAAATTAGTACAGTCAATAATTCTGAATTTAAAAAAAATTTCATGCACCCTATTTCCAACAACACAATGAATCCAGTGTCCCTTACAACTTCTATTTCCAAACACGCTGACATAATGAACTACAAACAAGCTTAATGATCCACTTTACCTGTTTTCTGTTATTATTATGGGCCAAATCAGAGAACAGGATGTTGTTCTGTCTTAGCCTCCTCTTAATGCTAAGGAACATCTGGCCAGCTCTTTTATTAACCACACGTTCTTCAAACTGTTCGTACGTCTCATCGTCTAACTGTTCCTCCTGAAGGAAATAGAAAAAACTTTGCAATAACACAACAAATGTAAGAGCCATAAATTTCTTTAGTTTTTTTCATGTACTGTACTGTACACAAAATCATTCATCCACCCACTGATAAGAAATGTTTTACTGTTAAGTATTAGTATGATCTAGGTGAGGTGGTGAGTCAGTGATAATTACAATCACTCACAAGCTATTGCACTGGAGCAGCAAATATTTAAAATGGTTATATATGTAGTACATGTAGAGCGGACTTTTCATCTGATCCAGCTCGTGTAGAATAAAACTTAACCTATTCCTGGATAAAAATGCATGATAGTTTTCTACAGTTGGGAGCATAAGACTCTGATCTGATAGCTTTTAACTCTCAAAAGTCCTATTTTGCTATAGTCCAGGGTGGCTAGACTCAAAAGCAATAGACTATCATTCATTCCCCCCAACTGCCTTTGCAGATAATTTCACCTAAAATATATCCACCCTGGCATTCATCTGGACTTTAATTAGAGGAATATTATTTTCCAATTAACAAGTGAAAATTGTTACTTCACCATCCCAGCTCATGTTCACCTGGCACGACTCGACCAATCATGAGCTTCCTCTGATTTTGCTCAGTTGTAAGCTTGCCGTGAACAGTGTATAGAGGCAGATTAATCATTTATAATACCTACCTGTAACAGGACTGGTAAGCAGGTACAATTTGTCACCCTACTCATGACATTCCTACTTTGCTGCCTGTTCTATCAAGTAGGTAGTGTGTAAATGTAAAAGTGAGTTAGTGAGTTCATTGTTTCATTCCAGAAACTCAAGACCACACGGCAGCTGTTAAAACTACATCTACATGACGCATCTTTTCTGCAGTCATGCAAATGTTCAAAAAGTTATGACACGCTGTAAGTAAACTTAATCCAGTTTCAGAGCATAAACAGCACATGAAGATGAAGACCTTGCAAAATATTTATCAACTCAAAATCCTTTAAACCTTATTTATTTTTCCTGTAAAAATTACAAAAATACCTTCAAAGCGAATGAGTGGGGAAATGGTACAGTAAAGACATATCCATCAGTAGCATGAAACCAAGCCTGGCAGGATGTAAGAGTGTATTTGCACAGCTATGAGGCTGTGAGGCTGTAAAGACTCAAACACCCGACATCAGATCATTAAAATAAGCTCCCAAAATACTTGCCAAGAAATAATGAACTGTTAAAGTCATGATCATGATACAGAAGGGATTTAATGCACACTGCTTTTGCTTAAAACTAGAACTGGACTAATACCAGGTTACATACCTCCTCCTCCTCCTCCTCTTGCCTCAACACAGCAGTGGGAGTATTTGGACGCTCAGAGTAATTAGATCGAGGTCCACCGTCGGACATGCCACCGGGAGTGTTTGCTGGGGGATGTGACCCATCGTACCCTGGGTTTTCCAAAGGAGGTTGATTCTGTCAAACACAGAAAATTTCTTATTAAACCAAATTCAATATCAAGTAAATATTGTCTGGTTTTTTTATTATAAGTGTAGCTTTTTAAATGGTACAGTATCTTGCAAAAATGAATTAAACCCCAGGATAAATTGGTTTAGGAAAAAAATAATAATTGCCATAATAAAGAAAATAAATCAGTAACAAAACATAAATATGTTTGTAGAAATTGGTGAAAGAAGAAATGAAACCTCGGATGACGAATAAATCCTACCTCCATGTATCCATGATTCTCCATCTCTGCGTGCATAGGACTCTGGAATGGTGTGGTGTGCGCTGGCGTCTGGTTGAAGCATTTAACAAATTCAGTGCAAAAAAATTAAAACATTTTCATAGCATTCAAGTCATACCTGAGTGAATCCTATGCACTCCATCCTTAGACTGCTGATGGTCAAGCAGAAGTAAGACAGACAAACTGATAAAAAGACTCAAACCACCATTATATTTATTATCCAAGGCAATCAATAACAGTATCTATATATAAATTCTAATTATCAACTCCTTAGCAGTTTGCCCTAACAGTGAAGATAAATGGAATACCTAACTTTAAGTCCGCCACACAGGGCAATTTTTGCTCCTATAAATTTGATTAAAATTGATTAATGACCAATTTAAAAGAAGTTTGTTTGGACAAATGGGCGGCGAGATAAGCCACATTACCTCTAATATTTGATCAATGCTTGTACTGTACAGTATATTAAACCCTGGATAATAGCAGTATTGGTGTAAATATCAAACCTGATTTACCAGCATCCTGTATCCAAAGAATGGGACAATGCCATGATAACACAAACATAATTTAAAAATCAAATGACATGCCAAACCTTTCAGTGCATCAAGTAGAGAATTAAGTTCTTTCAGGTTGTAAATGAAATGAACATGATTTAAAATTGACAGGTCAATGGAAATGTTTTTTACAATAACACAATTGGTTCCACAGAGTCGTTCGTTAACTGAAAAATTTTGTTAACTGAATCTATTATTTCAATGGGATATTGGGTAATTGGTTCCAACTCAGAAAAAGTACATACAAAGTACTGTACTTTATACCGGTAATAGAATTAACAAAACATTAAATATAAACTAAATACAGTACTGTACTGTATACTGTATAATAATAAATACAAAACAGTAGAATACTATATTTTAACTTACTTTGAGGTGTGTATGTCGTATTCCTGGCAGCTTTGTTTACATATCAAACAGCTGATTGTAGAGGCAGTCAATGATGTCATGTCATATTCTTTACAGAGTGCATTGGATCTAATACCTTCTTCATGTTTCATAATAATTTCTGCACTGTATATTATCAATATGTGAACTAACTAAATTTCAGAATGACCAATAATTTTAATGTAAAAATGAAAAAATATTCAAGTGACCAACAAACTGGATGTTCACTCCACTGTAAACAAAGTTGAACTCATAAGCGTTGGTGGGTGATTCGATCAACTGATTGGCACACAAAAACTGTTCCCTGTACTGTATTACCAATATGTTAACTAAATTAGAGTGACAAATAATTTTAATTTAAAAATGCAAAAATATTCAAGTGCACAACTTTCTTAATATTTACTCCACTGGAAACAAATGTAAACATAGAACCAATTACTGTATTGGCGGACTAGCCGATCAACTGATGTGCACAACAAAGCGTGTTTCTCGTAAGGCTTTCGTTAATCGAAGTTTTGTTCGTTAATGGAATTGAAAATCCTTATGGAAGCTAATTTGTTAACCGAAATTTCGTTAATTGGACCGATCGCTAATCGAGGGACCACTGTATATATACCTGTACTATATATATATATACTGTATATATACAGCATACTGTACTGTACAGTATACATCAGTGTTCAAATTTATTTCTAAGTGTTTTTCATGAAAGGGGGGATGAACCTCTATTTTTCCCAAGGGTTACTATTGTTCTTGATGATTCCATTGTTTTAAGTGAATTTTTTAAAGTTTTTGTTCCACGAGATTCCTTATATAAAGTACTCCAAACACTCATATACTGATCAAGGTATACCACAAAATCAGCCTAGTATAATATTGATACTAAACTTAATAGAAAATTTGCATAGATTTCATAACCAAGTAACACCCAATGTGTTAAAAATGTATAACCTAATGGAGGGCAGGAAATAAAGATATTCAAAACATAACACTCTTTTGGGGCTTTCAAGGGTTCATTCACAAACATTTTGAACACTAATTCATATATACAGTATACAGAACTCTAAATGTAATATTCAATTGTGTTTGGACGAAAAAATATTAGCTTAATCGAGTTTCAAGAATTAACATCACAACACAATTAGAACATGTAGATTATAAAACTACAAATATATCTAGCACATACCTGGTTTGCATCTGTATTTTCCCCTTGTGGTTGACCTGGACTTTGGAAGGGTACATTTTGTGTTGGTGTTTGGTTGGCAGGTGTATCTTGGTTTGTGGCAGCAAGATCATTAACTGCTCCTGGAGTTTGTGGAGGATTCACTTCCGCGAGCTGAAAGATAAACAATTTTGGTGATGAGACCAAAACTATTACAATACTTCACCCAAATTTAATCCTGCCCAAACTGTACATGATATTGCGATTTCAATTATCAAATGTAGCTTTTTGTGTCCATTTACAAATACCAGGCAACTAAAATACCACAGAAGTGTGTGAGTGAGAGGGTGAAATAATTTTTTTTAAGTATAACATAAAGTGAGAAAATATTAACATTAACAGAGAAATAACAGCCAGCAAATGTAGGGAATGTGTGATTGGTCTTAATTCCATCCACCCTACATTATCACTGGGGGTCTGGGGGAGACACTGTTTGATAACCATAGTGTGGTGAACATTAGCATGATGTATTTATGTAGATCCAACATTAGATATAAAACAAGAATGGTGGAAGGTAAACTGTTTTATCAGATAAACTGAATATACCAGAACATCTTAAGCTACAAATAGACAGACGAAAAGACAATTAAAAAATGGTGTATGAAAGTTGAAGTGAATGGGGACAAATGTCTAAATGAAAACTCAACTTTATAAACATTATATGTCAAGCAACATGCAAAATCTGACTAAATTTATTGTGGCTGACATGACGAGGATGATTGGATCCTTTGCTTCTTCTACTGTAATACATTGTTATGAAATTGAGGAAACTTATCCCCATACCATGCAGTTAAGATCAGAAAACTGTTATTTGGTGTAGCTACAAGAGATCTGGGGCAAACCAACCTCTTCCAGTGTGATTATCTCAGGCTGAGGTGGTGGCTGCGGTGTCTCTTCTGGCTGTTGTGGTGGCTGCTGTTGCTCCTGCTGTTCCTCTACCAATGCAGGAGGTGCTGGGGTTTGAGGAGGCTGTGGTGACATTAATTCATTGTTTGCTGCTGCATCTCGACTTCTTGTATGAACATTCACGATCTGTAGCTGAAAGGCATGAATGCATTAAATACATCCTTGTATAAAGTGTGCAACCCTGAAACTAAATATTGTACCCTACCTATATTTTACCAATACTTAAAGCCTCTTTCATCATATTCAGTAATAAAAGGATGGTTGAATTATAACTGTGGTCAAAGAATGGTACGGTAAAAGTCCAAAAATCCGGATGCCAGAAATCCGAACCACCTAAGAATTCGGACTTTTCTAACTCAATTTTTTTAGCAGGCTTTCGTGTGTATGTGCGTATGCGTGAGCGCCACAGCTGCACAGCGACAACAAGCGACCACGTGGTCACGAGCAATCAAACTGTGACAACATATGTAATTTGGAGTCCTACTCTTTCCATTTACAGAGTACTGTACTGTACAAGCCCATAATAATGGCTCCTAAAGTAGATAAACTTCGTTGTGTGAAGAGAAAGAAGAACACGTTGAAATTGAGTGACAAACTTGAAATAATTAAGAAACTAGAACGTGGTGTGAGCAATACTGTTCTAATGGAAACATACGACATTGGAAAGTCTACAATTTATGATATTAAAAAGGCAAAGAATAAAATTCTAGAATTCACAGCTTTTTCTTTAAAACTGCTCGTTTTGATAAATGAAGCATGCTATATTTGCTAGTGAATAAACTATCAAAATGTACCTGTTCATCTCTTCTTTATTCCTCCTTAAATTTGAATTTTGAAAGTACTGCCTGAGAATCCGGAAAATCTGAAAATCCTGACTGACCCAATCCCCAAGCAGTCCGGATTTTTGGACTTCTACTGTAATAGCCAAATTCTTATTATTTTCCATACACAATACAGTACATAAATTTTCAACTAGGCTCACTTCCCTATTGTAATTGTCATTTTAGGATTTATTTCTTATGTTTCCATCATGCATCTCCCTTATTTCGGACTAGTTTCTTCCTAGATACAGACTCTACTGCTTCATTTATATCCTTAATACCATCATCCCACACTATACTCTTAAACAGTTTCCACTTCCTCTAGATTATCCCACTTCTCATCTCTTTTAAACCCCCTTTGAGGGGGGGAGGGTATATGCACTCATCTCTTTCTCTCTTTAAGTTAGACAAACGAAACTTTCTGTTTATCTTACCAGGTTTGTGTGACATTTGTCTATCTGTGGGGATAAAATTTATATGGATACTGTATGTGTAATAACCAAACGAGGAGGAACAAACATTACCCCAGGGCACGGAGCAGGTTCTAGGGCTCGGCACAAGTGTATAGGCACTTTGGGGTTAACGCACTTTTGGCAATCAGCAAAAAATAAATCTGGGGTTAGGAAGTCACTGTAAAGTGGGAGCTGGAGTTCAGTCAAGTTTATATTTCTATTAAAATTTCTAACCTCTCTTACCTCTTCCTCCTCCTCTGGGTCTGGTTCAGGCTGCTTTCTCTTGGCATTTCTTGCTCTTGTTTTGGGTGCTGTGGCAGTATCTGGATCTTCTGCCTCACGAACCTATAAAAAAAAATTTTAGATATGCATTGAGAACCCTGTTTTATACTGACCAATTCAACTCAGATAAATTATGGAGTACAAAATCATGAGAGAAGGAATGAATAGAGCTAGAATTTGCAACAACATTACTGTAATTATTGATATGGATAAGAAATGGAGATGATGTATAAGATAAAGAATTCAGTGTTGCAAAAGGTGACCTCACAGAAAAACTGCACAGCACTATGGAAAAAACTAGTACAGTACAGGTACCTGCAATCTGAAGCACCAAATATTCACAAAAAAAAAGAAAAAAAAATCAATAACTCACCACTTCCAGACTTAGATTCTCCAACTCTCTGTCTCCTGCCATTCCAAAGTCTTCATTTGGAGCAGGTTCTGACGTGAGATGCCTCTGATACATGCGGGCCAATGATCGGGCATATATCGGACGACCAGGTAAGGCAAACAATTTTTCCACTCCACCTGTTTCCTTCCAGTGCATGAGACGTTTAGTTGGTGGAGCAAGATCTAAGGTAGTTACAATATCAGTGGTGTCAGAAAGCTGAGCCTTCATCTCCTCACCAGAGATATTTTTCACTTCATCTACAATCAACTTCCTCTTCCTTTTGGCACGTGGCCATCCAGACTTAATTGCAGATGCATCTACCGGGGCAAGTGCAAAACTTTCTTCTTCATTCTGTAACAATGTTGTCTGTTCATGTCCTACAAGTGCTTCATCATTTGCAGCAGAAGGGGCAGCCTCTTGGTTTTCTTCAGGAGGTGCATCAGGCTGATCTACTGGGTCTTGAGCCTCTGGTTTTGGGGAGGAAGGCCGTGATCCATCAGCTGAGCTGGGTGGTCCAACAGAAGGGGGTCCACCAAATCTATCTAAATCACCAACATCATCATCTGAATCATCATGTCTTTCTTCTTTTGGTTCATCCAGACTTGGACCATCCCCGATGGGAGTATCATCGAAAAGACCCCCCTCAAATAACCCACCAGCAATGATATCTTGTCCTAAATTACCACCAAAACCATCATCTCTGATAGGTGCCTCCAGATCTAGTGCAGATGTATCAGCTCGTGCCGTTGATAATCTTGAGTCCTGTTCTTTGGATGCACTAGGCTCTTTTTCTTTGTCTAAAGGGGTATTGTCACCAAAAATAAGATTGGGATGGTCCAATGTTCGATCCATAGCAGAGGCATCTCTCATAATATCAGGTGGTTCTTCAAAGCCCATATCACCAAAGCCATCATCACCTGTGACTAAGGAGATGTTACCATAGTCCTCCCTCATGGTAATCTCCTCTGCTCTAGACTGGTTTAAGGTAAACTGAGCCTGTATATCCACATCATTGAGCTCAGGCATAGCTGTATCAAAGTCATGAAATACTTCTGGAAGGGTAATAGCACTGACAGCTGCTTCTCTGATGTCTTCTGGGAGATCTACCATTCCTGGTCTGAAGGCCATTTTGATCTTGACAAAGGCCTCATTACAGTCAGCTAACAAATACTTGGCCTTTCGTGAGTAAATGCGCACCACACCCAGCAGCAGATGGCCTGATGTGCGCAGCGCCATTTTCACCTGAAGAATTTAGAAATCAGAAGTAATTATTCTCAACTAATAAGTTAACCTTAATTGTATTAAATGTACTTTTACATACAACAAACAATTATCCCTGTACAGTACAGCATTCATAAATCCTCAGAGCCAACAATTACTTCACAGACTTAAGCTAAATACAATTTTCTCTATGATCATTTTATACACCATTTGGAGGAATGCACTAATCTTATTCAAGCATGTGATGTGTAGGTGCTTATAATGAAGGAACTGTCATCAGTAAATATATATGGAGCATTAAATACTGAATCAGTTTATTTAACCAGGAAAAATAGTTGCAAGTGGGCAGCACCAACAATTTTGACACAGCTGAGCCGAGTGATCACATTTGGTGGCGCCTGATATATCCTGTACATATCTCAAGAAAATCATCACATACTATATACTGTACATAACAAATATCTTCATCCAGATTGCAACATGTTACATGGTGTTAATAATTACTGTACATACTAACCCCTTCACGACAGGAATGCCACTTTTAATATTTTGTTTTGTTAACGGCAGACAACTTTATTCAGCACAGACCCCCCCCCCCATACCCCATACATAAGGGTTTAAACTGTTACCAAGTGTTCACTGTTTTGTCGCTTAATTCTTTTATTGTAGAGTTTTGAAGAGCAAAAAGTGAAAACAATACAATTTGGGTTATGTCAAAGTAAAACAAAAAGTAATCATATTATTCTCCCTAAGGACAGTACTGGAAATTCCAATGCTTACATTATCAATCAAGACATGAAGTAATAATGATACGTTAACTCCTGTTCATAATCAAATAAAGTACCGTACTGAAGACTAAATACTGTAATGTATGCCCTGTCTGATACAAGGATATGGGGGGAGGGGGGTTATAGAAAGACTTACCTTGGGCTGAAGAATACCATCCACAGATTTCTCAATGTTTGTCTCAAATACATGAGCTTTAGTGAGCTTCTTATCCCAATGTGCAGCCAACCAAATTCGGGCCAAAGGGCCTTTTTTGGCTAGCACAAAATGTGCATAAAACATCTTGTTTTATTTCTGAAAAAAATAAAACAAATAAAATTAATTAATATGAATTCAAGTACTCTACTGTAAATAAATTAAAACCTAACATTATCATCAATGTGTAAACTTTCTACCAAGTGTTTAAACTGACTGCAGCAGTACTGTACAGTGTTTGAAGGAAGGTGTTATACCTTGATAGGTCTAACTTATTTCATCATGAAAGTGTGGGCCCTACAAGACTGACAGTCCATAAAGCTGAGGTCACAGGAGCACTTTTAAGAGCAATTTCTTGAATTAAAGTTACTTTGAATAATTTCCCTGAAATTCGAGCAAGTATTTGGAGCAATTTTTCTGCACTAAACCGTACTTAGGTTTATTTCAAACTACAGTACTAAATAATGATTTTATCATTCACTGTTCAGTCTCAGTACAGGAGGAAACTAGAGTATCCCGAGAGAACCTGCCATGCTTGGTAGAATTACACTGGATATTCATAAAAGAACCAGTAAAACCAAGTATAATTACAGTCACAATTTCTCAGCACTGCACTTACATGATGTCTGAGCCATGTATGTGATATAGCTAATTGGGTTAACAAGCAACACAAAAGGCCCCTAATGGAAATAGGCATCTGATGGTTTTGCCAGCCTTCCTAGGCCTGTTTACTATTGTTGTATACCTACACTGTAAACCTGCATACTCTATCTACAGTATATACATGTACAGTAGCTAAAACAAACTATCTGTGCATACTTTGTGGGAAACAATATGAGACCATGGACGATAAATATTGGTATACGAGGGCTGTCACTTGTCGCACGTAAAATTTCGGAGCATACCGACCCCCACCTGCACAGATAGTTGTTTTAGCGACTGTACATTCCAAATCAATTGTAAACTTGTATGATGAATTTATCGAATTAATATTAGCAATTATTTTGCAAACACCAGCAAACAATTTAGAAATGAAAAGGATCATTTTTATAATGCAGGTTTCCATGCTGATTAAAGTAGCAGGGATAAAGAAAGTTTGGGAAAATGCATAATTATTGAGTTTTGACCCTTTCTACCCTTTCTATCTTGGGTAAAAGTGGAACAGACGATTGGCACCCGAACACGTTTATATAATTTGTTAATATTTTCCACAAGTGTTTTGATTTCCAATACCTTAAGAGTAACATTGGTTAATAAGTGTATTGAATATTCCTATATTTATTGTTTTACCACACGGGGAGACAAGCAAGCTATCTTGATTTCCCCTCGGTACTTATGGCGTCTTATGCGGGTTACTGTTTGTCATACTCGTATCACAAGTTATCGGTTCTTGCGGGAGATGAAGACCATCTACAAATGTTCATATGTCAACATTGACTAGTTGGCAGGATGTTAAGTGTTCAAAATGTAGCAGAGAGATGACAGTGAAGAAGAAATATGCGTTTCAGTGCAACAACCGATCATACTCTCAGGTCCACAAAAAACGTTAAATTACACCATGCTGTTGCATCAAGATAGTTGCTTTCATTGGTAACAGATATCAAAGTAAGTTCTTTCTGTTTAACCCTCTCTCTCGTGCATGAGATAAGCTTTAGGTTTTCCAGTTCGAAGATCACATCTCTGAGGCTCCCAGGGCAGGTGAGACAGCGCACGGTGAATATATATTTATTTTTGCTTTACCAATTTCCTTTCAAAATTTGTTTTTATTGGCATAAACCATATACAGTATGTTTGGCTTCATAACTGATTGCTCTGCAACATACAGTAAGTAAAAAATAAAGATAAATGAAAAATAATAATACAAGTAGATAACTATTTTTCATCACTTCTAATAAACACGAGAAAAAATACACACAAATACGTTCACCACCTAGCTCAAATTGTCTGAGCCAACTGTTTAAGTACTATACGCTGCTAGAAGTGGAATTTTATGAGCTTTCTAATGCAGTAATCAGATGTCTGATGTGACCAACAGTTTTTGAGAAAATAGCAATAGACTGAATCTCAAATGTCAATTTTTTTTCAATTATTTTTGTGCCTATGTTTTATATCAATATAAATTATATTGCGTCTCATAGTCAACACTATAACGAAGAGAATGGAACTCATAAAATCATCCACTTTCAAAGACTTCTTTTGAGACATTGTCACTATAACGAGGTTGTACAGTATAGCCTGATACAGTAACAGCTTTTGAAAACACTTTCTCTGTAAATATGAAAAAAAATATTACATTACATTACATCACTTCACTTCTCTAACACGAAAAATAAATTATTTCAGGGAGTCGGGTAAGCACTATAATCCAGAGTTGAGGCAGCCCGCACGGAGTTATCGAAATTTAAATGGACGCGGCTCACACTCACGGTCTAACTGCTATAATAATACTGCGCATTTATCATTCCTGTCTTCCTTTCCTATGGGCCTCGAGAGTTGCCAATTAGTTTATTTTACTTTCGAACAGTGCCCGAAAGTTATAAACTACTGAACCATTTAGATCTCCCTATTCTGAGCATTTTGAACCCCATTTATATTATGTAGTCGGAAATGGAAAATAGCGACACAATTGAATTTAATTAATTTTACGTACTTTTCCGTCTTCGTCTGAGAGGTGGTATCTGCGTGAAACCAAGTTCATTATGGATCACGCAAGCACAATATTGACTGACGTCATCCAGCCGTGACCAATGATGTATTGATATCACCTCGCGATTTTTTTTTACCAACCACATTTGAATTTTTCAAAGGGAGCAGCCTGGGTGCGGATTTGAAATTCAATGACCAGTCTGACAATGGCTGTGGTCGAGGTTGGTTGTCAAGTGTTCTCCTGCGATTATTTTAAATTTATTGCAATTTTACAAGAAAGACGATCATACTATCCAATTCTTACATATCCCTGGTCCTTCCACTTCTAACTAAGGTACAGTATTGTACTCTCGGACATGACGCGCCCCAAAGTTTTAAACTACAATACTGAAACATTTAGGTTAGGTTAGTTTAAGCTAGGCTTACCGAGGGTCCATGGGGCGGAGCCCCCGGCTAGGAGTTAGGTTTTGTTAGGTTAGATGACTCGTTTTCTCCCCCACCCCAAAACCCCAACTTCCCAGGCTCTCCCCCATTATTGTGGGGGGGGGTCAAAAACGAGCAATTTCCGACAAAAATTAAGGTCAGATTCGCTTAAAACAGATACACTCCATTTCGTCACCACTAACAGTTGCTAGTGTTAGTGACAAACAAAGTTTTTATTTTACACGAATAGAAATTACACAAGTATACAGACGGCTCGAGAAGTATTGTTATTATTATTATACATGAATATTAATTATTTAACAAAGAAAACGATTAAAACATTGGTAAATAAACAAAATATAAAACAAATGAAGGTGATTTGGCACCAGCGCATAAACCACCGAGCAGTGAGATGATTACAGGCGTATTAACAATGTTTTAATTTGTTATTTTCGTCTTTAATAAATTGTCTTAGTGTTTTTCATTATTTTCTATCCCAAGCAACAGTTATTTTCCTGTATATATTGATGAGAATGAACGGGGTGACGAAAGGGGTAAAGCATTGGTCAACCCCTAGGGACTTGTCCTAAAGAATAAATTTACCCAAATTTGACATAATTACTTTTGAAACCTAACTTTTGGCGATTTTTTTAAAGTTTGGTGACTCGATTTGCATCACAGTGAAGTTGGTTTTATCATGAATATGATGAGTCACATCATCATGTGAGAGAGGGTTAATATGACAGGGAATCCAGGGTGCTGATAGGTAATTAGGTTAGGTTAGGTTCTGTGCATTCTCGTACCTATTTTCGTGTTCAGTATCATACAAATGTTAACTTCAGAAATTTGGTTTAATTCAATAAGTTATGTCTGGTGCTGACCATCTCCTCCACCTTCACCAAAGGTAACCAAGACTTGTCAACAGAAGTAACATGTGTAGCTAATTATAAACATAACTACATATTGAGTCAAATTTAACGTTTAGGTCATCCAACTATTTAAAACACATAAAAAAACCCAGGAAAAACATAATTTCAACCAAACCTAAAATTCGTTGGATGACCAAAACGAAAATACCAAATTATTAACATATTATCATTACAAACCTAAGAACATAATGTCGATAACTAAAGTATTAGCTTAATGGGCTAAACAATGTTACTTCTAAACCTAACTTGTACATTAGACAGGACCACAAGAGCTATACACACTCTTAAGGTCCCAACAATAACACACATTCTGGTCTATTTTTTAACTACTTAATAATAATTCCTATCTTACCTTTACTTCTTCTAACAAGTTGGTGTTATATGAAGTCTAAATAACTGGAGATAAATAAAGAGATTCACTAATGGCTAAAAGATCTGCCAGTATTGTCTTCTCATTAGTACTTCACTTTACATCAATATCTTTCACTCTATTGATGACTGCACATTGTCTTCTCATTATAATTCTCATTTACCAATACACTTAACGAGGATATTGTCTTCTCCTTAATGGCATAGTGTGATTGTTTACATCTGGGTGTACACAGAGGCATCAGCCGTCCACCAAGATGGCGTCCTGGCGGGGATTTGGCGCTGGGTTTGAACCTGCTGAGCATCACCGCCATCGACCCGCGCCACCCATCGATTCTAACAAAAGAGCATCGCTATTGAATTTTAAAATCGAATTAGTATTCCTTTATTAGAGTTTTGTTGATTATAGTAGTATTGGATTCTATAATATGTTTTGTGTCTTTATTATAGCTTAGTTGTTATAGAGTCTATTCATTGCATAGCGGGAAATTTTATTTGGATTTATAAAGTAAACAAATAAATCATAGTTAAAATTCGACTGGAAAGATATACAGAGTAATATTTTAGGCGTAGATGGTAATGATATGTTAGTTATAGTTCATTTATTCATGAAAATATTAAGGTACAGAAATTTTGTTGAGTAAAGTTATATGTGTCATCATGTCTCATTTATATATACAAATTTACGTCTATTTTTGTCTCACTGACAATTGAATAACCATTTACCTTTTTGTGTTTTTTCGGACTTTTATATTTTAAATGCTTATTTGTAATTATTGTTCATATCCATACTGTATTTTATCGTGATAAATTCCTAATAAATTACTAAATCAAAAACTCTCAGTGTGAAATAGCAAATGGTAGCGAGATATATTCTTCAGTGGATATAATTATGAAAAACAAATTCATTTCCACTGAACCTTCCTGTTATATGCTGCTAAAAATAGTCTTCATCCACGGCAAAAAAAAATCAAACAAATTCTATCTAATGGTTTTCTCGGGCTATCTCTTTTCAAATCGTCTGATATATTAAATTGTTAATTAATGTATCGTTTATATTGGCACTTAACAGCTTACAAGTCGTTCTCTGTAATTTCTCACAACCGACCCAGAGACCGAACCTGTGACGCAATGGGGAGAGTTGAGCGTGCTCTTGTAGTGGATTCCTCCCCTACAAACGCTGTTTGTCACTGAGTAGCAAACCCCGCGAATTCCCCAGTGTATGCCTCGTGGTCTAGGTCAACCAGCGCCGCCTTACATGACGGAGGTCAACTATTAAGCCACGCCTACCTCCGCTATATAAGACCTGACCTCGTGGTGACCTAGCTCTCTTTCTACCTACAGCCAGCAAGTAACACCACCTCCTCCACTCCTGCCTGGCGGCCCTTGCTCCCGCCGGCGAGCATGGCGACCCACAAGTTGGTCCTCCTCTGAGCATCCTCACCAACCAGCTCTCTCTCAGGGCCGGCGCTACCCACTAGGCAGACTAGGCAATCGCCTAGGGCGCAACATCTGGGGCGCCACAAATTCAGGGCAAACTTGGATAAAATTAAAAATGAAGGAAAACTGTGGTGGACACTGGTGGGCCGTGGAGGGTCGGAGCAGGATGTTAGGGGTCGGAGGAGGGGAGTAGTTAGACGGTAGTCGACTGTGTTTTCTTTTTAATATTATTCGTTAACCCGGAGTCTTGGGTCCTTATCTTCGGCCTGAAGAACTGTCGAGCAGTGACCTGAAGGCTGACATCTGAGAAACCCTCCCAACCCCACTGTGGGGTTCAGGATGTTTGGTTCACACTCAGGATGGGTTGGAGAAACTCACAATGTGCTCTCTATATACATGTTGTATTGGATGTACAGTGCAGCTTGGTGCTGGGAAGGCAGCATGGTTACAAGCGTGATGTAGAGAGAGCTGGTTGGTGAGGACGCTCAGAAGGACAGCTTGTGGGTCGCCATGCTCGCCAGCGGAGACGCCAGGCAGGCGGAGGAGCGAGCCACCAGGCAGCGGTGGAGGAGGAGTGTTGCTGGCTGCGGCTGTAGGTAGAGAGAGACAGAGATCACCACGAGGTCAGGTCTTAAATAGCGGGGGTAGGCGTGGCAGCAGTTGACCCCGGCTCCGTGGTGTATGGCGGCGCTGGTTGACCTAGACCACGAGGCATACACTGGGGAGTGGTGGGGTCGGCTGGGCAGCGACAAACAGCGTTTGTAGGGGAGATCCACAATACTCCCCTCCCTCAGGCTGTGTAGGAGACTTGTTGTCTGCAGAGTTGCATAGCACATGTGAGGCAGAACGGGCGGTGCGTGCCTCATGTGAGACAACGGCGATGGCGTGGATGAGCCGGTCGCTGGATACAACTGTCTATATACACACTATCTGTGGGAGAGAGAGGGAGAAAAGGGGTGTGTGGAGGCGATGAATTTTGTTCTTCCTCACAGCATGTACAGAGTCGCCAGATGCGCCTGCTGGGGTGTGTGGGCCTGGGTCAGGAGCAGGGGCTGCGTCAGAAAGCGGATGAGCTCGTGACAGCAGCTGGGTCCTGACAGCAGCAGGGTGCAGGACATTAGCAGGGAGTACCTGAGGGAGAAAAGAGGGGTGTGTGGGTCCGCACTCAGGAGCAGGGGCCGCATCAGGGGCGGCAGGGGTTACTGCTGGGCCGGGGTCGGCGTCTGAGCAGGACGGGTGTGCTGGGGTCGGAGAGGAGCGACTGTCTGCTTAGAGTAGCAGAGCTGCTCTGGGGTGTCTGACCTGTGGTGTAGAGACGTAGCTGTAGAGCCGATGAGAGCTGCTTCTGGGTGGATAAGCCAGTCTTCCATGTTGCTTGAAGACTGGGAGCGTGGTCAGTTTCTCCTCCATCCTGTGTGAGTGCGGATCTCCGGAGTCACCATTTGTGGGGTTCAAGTTTGTTTGGTTCACACTCAGGATGGGATGGAGAAAATCACAATGTGCTCTCTATATACATGTTGTATTGATGTACAATGCAGCTGTGCTGGGAAGGCAGCATGGTTACAAGCGTGATGTAGAGAGCTGGTTGGTGAGGACGCTCAGAGAAGGACAGCTTGTGCGTCATGCTGTGGCGGAGAGACGCCAGGCAGGCGGAGGCGAGACCCAGGCAGGCGGAGGAGGTGTTGCTGGCTGGCTGTAGGTAGAGAGAGATCACCACGAGGTCAGGTCTTAATTAGTGGGGGTAGGCGTGAGCAGTTGACCCCGCTCCGTGGTGTGTCGTGCGCTGGTTGACCTAGACCACGAGGCATACACTGGGGAATGGTGGGGTTGGCTAGGCAGCGACAAACAGCGTTTGTGAGGGAGAATTCACTACACCACCATACCCTCCCTCCCTGCCAGGGCGGCTGAGCCGTCCCTTCCTCTGCTTATGGGGATGAGGCAGGTTACCTGACCTCTGAGTTTGACCTCGCATAACATAATCCTGAGACTGGCCAGGTGATTGTATTAAGTTTTAATGTAAATAATTTTTTAATGTGGCTTGGTCAGAGTTGCAATTATTTTATTCATAACTGTTACATCTCTCCATTAAGCTTTCTATTTATACTTAAGATGTCAATTTAATATATTGTCCGACCAATGACTGGTCACAACTCACAAGTATCTTATTTTGCACTACATGTATATAATGATGTAATAATAGTAGGTTATAACTCGCAGGAGGCTGGAGCGAGCTAAATGCTTATGATATGTTATTATTTTTTAAAGATTACCTAAAATAAAAAAATAACTAAAAATTGTTTCATTGACATTTACGTCAAGGATTTATTGACTTAATGTACTAACAATAATGGGTTATTTGCATGGATGAAGTAATAAAGCCACAAGATGAAAATTATGTTATCAGTGGTGTTTGGAGAGTTAGAAACAATGTAGTAATGGGTTACTGTACTACATTAGCTTATCAAAACTTTCAAGGGGCGCACATCTAAAGGCTTGCCTAGGGCGCCAAATCATCTTACCGGCCCTGCTCTACATCACCACTTGTAACCACGCTGCCACTTCCCAGCACCAAGCTGCACTGTACATCCAATACAACATGTATACAGAGAGCACATTGTGAGTTTCTTTCTCCATCCTATCCTGAGTGTGAACCAATATCTCATAACCCCACAAATGGTGACCGGAGATTTGCACTCGCACAGGATGGAGGAGAAACATCTCACATAACCCCACAATATTGACCCATGGAGCCGTGAACACCACACTCCTTTCTGCTGCTTTACTCCTTGAGCTGAGAAGACTGTCCTGCTCGCTGCCAGCCTAGGCCAACCGCCTTACCCGCACTCGTACTCCCACTACTCCACGGACGACACCATCTCACGACTGTGTGTCACAGACTTTCAACCACAACATCGAGGACTGGTTAGTTCATGTGGAAGCAATCCTCATCAGCTCACAAGCTACTGACGAGCAAAAGTACGGCGCCCTGCTCTGTTCCTTGTCCACGGAAGTCGCCACTCAAATATCACTGACTATTTCCAACCCTCCAGAGAACAACAATCTGCTTCCCCATGGACGCCTAAAAACACATTACCGACGGACCCCAGTCTCCTGCAGAACCTATCCTCTATCTCCTTAGAAACTCAACCCGACTTCTGGGAGGAGATGTGCAACCTCGCAACACAGACAGACTTCCTGACCCTATCCTGTGCCAGTTTCACGCGACAAAGCTCCCACAGAAGTACGTATCATCCTGTCCGCAGTAGATTACTCGACGACACCTGAACTCTCACGCAACCACGGCACAGAATTATTCAACGGTGCGTGGCTGAGTGCCCGGCTGCCGCAGACAACCCAACGACCACATCAGTACTTACCTTCGAACTTGTAAACCGGTCAACACCCTCAGCCGAAGCAATACTACAAGACATCAGGGACCTGTGGCAAACTTTAAACCGCAGGATGGACACCATTGAACAGCTGCTGTACCTGCTCCTAACTCACGACCACGTCCCACTGACCCCAACACACCCGTCCTGCCTCAGACACCGCCCCAGGCCCCAGCACAGTGTATCTACCCTGTTGGTACCATCAACGTTTTGGTGCTAATGCTAGACGGCCAGAGGCTCCCTGCAACCACACGGCGAAGCGACATCGACGGAGACGGGTAGGCGCCATTACCTCTGCCACTATCACAGCGATCACACGCCTTACTTGACCTTGACCACTTCACTCCTGCTGCCCATCACGACCTACTACAAACACTCACGTCAGGCGGTTTCTGCATTCAAGGCTACTGCTCCACCAGCCTCCCACCGCCTTTGAACACATTCATCCCGCACCTCCTCCACCAGTCTGCCCACAATTACCCCTTGCAGCACCACTGCCCACAACATTTCTGGGCACCTCTTTTCTCAGGTACCCACTGCACCTGTCTTGCACCCTCCTCCGACGTGGCCCTGCTCCTGACGCGACCCAGACACCTCCCACCCGCGCCACTGAGACTGCATACCCGCTGCGAAAGAAGCACCACATTCTCGCCTGTAAAACCTTCTCTTATCCACAAACTTACTCCCCCACTTCTCCCACAGATCTCGTGTCTGAGTGTCTCACATGTGGGATACAACCTGCCAACAACAAGTCTTTTGCACCGCCTGGAGGGAGGGGAGTATTGTAGTGGATTCCTCCCCTACAAACGCCGTGTGTTGCTGACTAGCCGACCCCGCTGAATTCTCCAGCGTACGCCTCGTGGGCAAGGTCAGGTAACCAGCGCCCCCGAACAAAGCGGAGGTCTACAATCAAGCCACGCCTACCCCCGCTATATAAGACCTCACTTGGCAATGACCAGCAAGCAACACCTCTGAGCACCCTCACCAACCAGCTCTCTCTACTCCACGCTTGTAACCACGCTGCCACTCTCTAGCACCAAGCTGCATTGTACATCCAATACAATATACAGTATATACAGAGAGCGCATTGTGAGTTTCCTTTCTCCAACCCATCCTGAGTGTGAACCAATATCTCGTACCCCACATTATCACTAATAATTGCCACACAGGACAGAGGTTCACCCACAAGAGAAGATAATAAAGTAGTTCATATTCGTTTGTGTCATATTGTAGATTGAAAACAAATCACTCACTGTGGCTGAAAAAATTTAGGATACCTTCACATGCCTGTTATGAATAAGAACTGGTACGAAACAGATGGCCCTCGCCTCCGGGCTGCGATTGCCATCGAGGGTAGTCTACCGATTTCTACAGGACAGACAACACGTTGGTTCAGACCACTAGACCCTAAAACGTGAGTGATCGTGAAGTATTAGAATCTGCTAAGAAACTCTAAATAACTTTAATAAGTATATTTATGTACAGTACATCGAAACAAGGAGGAATATGATAAAGACTACATCTAGTGATTGGTATATTCAGCTTCAAGAGATTGGTGACATGATGCCCACCAACTAGGGTTCACAGCTCACAGCATCAAGTTAAAGATGCTATTAGAGAAACTTGTCCGAGCTGACTTCTTTATTGTAAGGGATGTAAACACTTGGAATAACCTGCCAGAGAATGTTGTCAAAGTACCGAGTGTGATCTAAGACACTTCCTGCAGGCGGGTAGCTTCTTATGGTGAAGTCAAGTCAGATTAGGTCTTGGGTAAGGTTAGGTGTACTCTCCCTGGTGGTGATGACAACCATGGTGATAGTACAGTACTTTGTGGTGAAAGTATGTGAGGAAGATAGTGCAACTTGTGGGAAAGGTGGTGTAGTGTGTGGGCATAGGGGATGTAGTGTGTGGACATAGGGGGTGTAGTGTGTGGGCATAGGGGGTGTAGTGTGTGGGTGGGGGGTCTGGTGTGTATGGGAAGGGGTGCAGTGGAGAGGTGAGGGGAAATATTATGCGTGGGGGTGAGAGAAGTGTCTGGGTGATGGAATAGAGCATTGTGGGAAGGGAGTCAAGTGCATGAGAGAGGCAGTGTAGCGAGTGTGGCTGTATAGTGTAGCCACCATTACCACCTAGCAATCTTAGCTTGTTTTTTATTTATTTATATATTTTCATGTTGTAGTATATATATCAGGTTTGCTGGCCCCCATGATGCACTGTGTATGTGTTTACAATATACTCTCAATTTCTGTGAAGTGGCTGTTAGTAACCTATGGGAACAATGAAACCTGCTTTGGGCAGGTCACTGACCCACATCGGGGCCTGGGGGGCAAAAATGCAATAATAATAATAATAATAATAATAATAATAATTCATAGTAAATAATAATAATAATAATAATAATTCTGTAGTAAGAGTAGTAGTAGTATTAGTAGTAATAATAATAATAATAATAATAATAATAATAATAATAATAATAATATAAAACCATAAATACAAAAATAAAAAAAGGTCAAAAGTGAGAAACAATATACTATATGTATGTTGTGTTGTCAATGGTAATTGAAACAATTGAGACCCTGCAATTGTGTGTAAATGAGGCAGAAAGTCAGACCAGCAACCTGGAACTTGGTCACAATTTTCATGATGCCATATGGCAGCAGGGTCTACCATTAGACAACACATTATGCTTCCAATATCTCCCTGTTTGGTAGCTGCCTACTACCTACATTTAACAATAACAACCCCCAACTACCAAATTAAAGTATCCCCTCTAAGTATTTTAAGTTTCTGGATTATGTGCCTCCTATGTGTACACTATTTGGGAGCAAGAGCAAAAGCTTGATCAAAACACACACACATACACAGGTAGTGGCAAGAGACAATACAGTGGCAACAAGCAGTCACCAGTCAAATTGTAGTTTGTTGTTTTTAAATAATTCCCATATGTCCTAATTGTATTTTCACTCATATTGTCTTTATGTTTGTGCTGTCATATACTGGAATTATAATTGCTTGCAAAAATGAAATAGGAAATAGTTATGGCTCTGTAAAGGGGTGAAAGCATTAAATGTTATGGAAAGTAGCTATGAGAATCACTCACCTCACCACACATACAGTACCTGCTCTGGCCAGTCATGGAGTAGAAGAACCCATCGTCACACACTACCGAAAACCCTTGTGATGTGTTAAAACTGTGGTATCTGAAATTAATTTTCCTTCAAGAACAATTCATTAAGGGAGGGAAGCATTCCTGGCTGTGAATTTTTTTGCACTCGAGCTGATTTTTTGTAGAGAAACATTTTTTTGTTGATTGAGAAACATCCTGTACAGTATATACAAATATATATGGTATGAAATTCAATGAGGAACATATGCATATTCTTCTTTCTTGACTGCTTTCACCTCTAAACCGAGACTCTTTTGGTGCTTCTTGATACAAGGTGTACATACTTGGCAAAGCAATAGTGGATCTTTTTGCATTCATTATGTACAATTTAGGGTGATTTCTAAAGGAATAATTGTGTATGTATGCAAACTTTTTTTTTGATAGCATGGCAAAAAGACAAGGATAAAATTTCCATATTCTTTTGAGATAATCAAATATTTTAGTCATGAAAATTAAGTCGCATTCCTTTTTACTGTACTGTACAGGCTATTTACTTCATAATTTATATGGTACTGTACATCCTACTGTTTCAAAAAATTTATTTACAAAATAGTTAACAAAAGTTAAAACTGGCCAGAATTCACATTTTGAGTTGCACTAGGTATTCTCAGAACTGTAAATTTTGGCTAATTTTAACTTTGCTAATGAATTTCAAAGGCTGTTCCATTTCATTAAATATTTTGGAATAAAGAATTTCAATTACAGTACCATATACAGTACAGTACAAGGGGTTCCAGACTTACGAACGCCTGCCAATACGAACGAGGTTAAACTTGAAATTTACAGTAGTATTTTATTTACCTGAGGACTTATTTTTTACTTTCATTTACTGTATTTTGTCATTCTATTTCTTCTTTTCTCTTAAATTGAGTGATTTTAGATGTACATAAGGACTTAGGCTATGATCTAGTGGAATTTTAAACTTTGTTCTGTAAGTACAGTATGCACACAGCATGAGTTCCGACTTATGAACAAATCCGACTTAAGAACGTCCTCAGGAATGGAACCCATTTGCAACCTGGGGACCCCCAGTATAAGAATTACTGTATACTACTTTACAGTATATACAAAATTAAACATCATCCAAATGGATGAAAACTCTGCTTGTGAACTGGTACACTTGTGGAAATGTGTTCCTATCCCCTGTGGTAACCCATGATTCCAAACAGCCAACTTATATGACCTATAGTATAGCAAACCTATCCACCAATCATGTCCTTCATTACATTACCAATACTCATTCATTCATAAACAGTGATACTACAGTACTACTGTAACATTGCTAATTAATGTAGTCACAGCTGGAGTCTCACATCTTTTTGCTTATCAACAAGATAAATTCCAGAAATTAAGATACAAAATATACACAAGAACACATTATCAGTTATTAATATACAGTACTGAACACAATTCAATGTCAAACAAGAGACTACAGTACCATATATAAAATTAAATTTAAATTTAATGTTTAAATTTTAGTTATCTAATTTACTGTAAAAACATTTATCCTTTGTTTATATTCTCATGTGTATTCATCTAATACTCTAACCAATAAGTTAGTTAGTTTAAGTGAGGAGCTTAATGTGCACAAGATAATCTGAATGTGGTAGATGAGCTGCACTACAAATTGGCTTTTTTGACACAAATGAATCTTGGAGCGTAACCCCATACAATTAATTTTATCTCTGAAAAATCATGCATCAAACTGAAGTAAATTATTTACCTCACCTCTAGATCATTTTCCCTGTACTGTAATAGTGTTTTAAAGGATAATACTGTACACAAATATTAATTTGGCAACTTTTATTGGCTGAACAGAACCTCTCCAGTGTTGAAACATCCAGGAGCCTTTCCATCTGTTGTACAATTTCTTTTACATCTTTCATATTACTGAAAAATCCCATCTAACATTTAAACCAAATATTAACCTTCTGTGCCTGCAAAATACTTTGTACCCACTTTTATTTTGAAAACTCAAATCAAACAACACAATTATTAACTAACCAATATTCTAGGATGTGTGATACAAACTATTAATGAAGATAAACTAGCTTCTCCTGGCAGACACACAACCCACGTTTCATCAAATGCATTGGTACTTCCCAGAAAAGAATAATAAGCTTGATCTTGATCTTAAATATGAAATTTGATATATTCTTTACTCTTCTAACCTATACCTCACTCTATGAATGTCCCAGGCTTCATAAGTTCAAGTGCAGTACAGTATGTTGTTTCTGAACCATAATGATCCCCTTGTGCCGGTAGTATTTCAAATTATGACATAAGCTGCAAGTATTTTAAAATATCCAATAATGATGCGAGTTATGGATAAATATAAAGCTAGGTGTGCTGGCTGTCATATTCAGCAGACACAGGTCCACTGTTATATTCAAGTGATGCTTCAGGAGATGTGGCCATCCTGAGATGCTCATGCTTCTTGGCATAGTACATGTTGAAGTCCAATCTGTAAGGAGGTTGCAATAACAGCAATGGTAATAATTCTTTTTTTCTGTTACTGTACCAGAAATGGACATTGTGCCCAGTGAAAGAGAATACAAATAACAATGTGACCTACAGTGAAGTGAGGCTTACCTAATCCAAATACAGTTAAATAATATTCATGATATTCACCAAAGAGTTTAAGGAAATCTGCAGGTGTTGCTATGTTGTGTGTATGTGACCGGTAGGAGAGTGACACATCAGGTAAAACATTTTAATCTTAACCTTACCCAATACCCATTGTTACAAACATTACTGTGGACCACCTAGTGTTTTTCTTCTACATCTAGATTTATTGTATTTCTATCTTTGAGACTTCTTGAAGAGTCATATATCTTTCTATATTGAGAAGCAATATGTTATGCAATTTGTGATGATCTGAAATTCAGTTCTTCATTATGTTAATTTTTGTGTGACATCATATAACAAAAACTATGCTGAAGACATTTTATGGCACCTTCTAGTCTGCGGAACATTCTAGAAATCGTGTCTCATTCAGCGACACCATAGGAGAAAATATGAGATGAAAAAGAAGAGAGGGAGAGAGAGAGATATTAAAAGTCCTACATATCTAAGAGTATCAGTACAGTACTATCATGTGGGATTCCCTTCTATAGCCACAAAGTTCATACTCCCACCTCAAGCTTGTAGCACCCAGGGAATCCACAAGATGGACTGACTGATCAACAAAACCCAGTAAATTTGACTTACCTGTAGATCACGTTGACCAGAGCATCATTGTAGTTGTCCCGACCCATCTCTGAGATTCTTTCCATGAGTGTGTAGATCATGCCTGAGAACTGCAGCTCAAACCTTGATATTGTTTGCTCAAAGCTCTGGCTGTCTTCGTGGGTTGTAGCTGCCGGCTCAGGGGACTCCTGCCATCGGGACCACAAGTTATTCAGTGATATACATGTACAGTTGCCAGCAAAAGTCCTCCCACAGCCATGCTTGGGAGAACTTTTGCTGGCAACTGTACATACTGTATTATACACTGGGCATTTCCATACATATAGGAATGGTACAAATACACTTTTTTTAAATGCTGAAATATTTTTACAGCACTCATTTTACATTCCAATATTTAATCAGTTTAAATCAAGAGTAAAAGTGTTTTAGATAATTAATATATCTGCTTGATAATGGTTACACTAGAAAACAAACATTATTCTGGTAACTGTGGAAATGCCCCAACATTCTTTCATTCAAGATTTTGTTTTTAAACATTATTAGGACATTTTTGTTAAGTACTATATCCATGCAATATTTCCTGTGGTAACTAATAAGAAAACTGCCTAACCTCTCTAACATTATCATGGTACAACACAGGTAACAAATGAGGCTCGCAGGCACACCACCTCCTACAGTAATTACAAGCACAAAGCTCAAGAGAGAGAAAACAAAATTGAAACAAAACCGACTAGTAACAATCAAAACACACCATCCTATTATACCTTTACCAGAGTACATTATGCAGAACTCTAACTTATGGGAAATTTGGAAATATAATCCTTTAATTAATCTTTTTGTCAGTTTATATTATGAAGAAAAAACCTTGGGAAAAAAAAAAATAATAATAATAATACTTTATGAGCCTGGAATACATGCCATTTCCTAGATTCAAGTCCAGGCTGGGAATCCATGCAAAATCTTTCTCTATCATTTTACTTATTGATACAGAGAGGAAACTATGGCAGCCAACAGCTATAGTAAACGTCAACATACGTCTCAAAGATGGAATGTGCCGTCTTATATACGGTAAATCTTTCTCGTTATATAATTACTACTTATTTCTTTTCTTGTAGCCTATGTGAGCCATTTTTCGAATATTCTGTTGATTAGTGTTGTAAGTATATAGCACAGTACACACTCTATCTATCTATCTTCAATTGATGTTATCCATTCATTTTAACTGCTGTGACATTCCCCCACACCATATGATGCAATCCTTTCCACTGATCATTCACATACACACCTCCATCCCTTCCTCCCCGGTCTACCCCTCTTACCATCCACGACTGAATTACATGTTCTTCCAGCTTAACTTTCACTTCCCATTTTCTCCACAAGTATTTCTAAATCCGAGTCTAATTTTCTGAATGTCTTAGCCACTGCATTTTATTCCCCCGACATATGAACTTCAAGTACGTCAATTCCAATCGGCTTATTCCTCTTCTATCTAGGGAGGGTTTATTTTTCACACCCACATAACAGTGTTGGCTTAACCCCTTCACTACTGAGTAACACACTAGTAGTTACATGTAACTACTGAAAGGATCTTATGGTAACTGCCGAGAGATGTTAATACACTCAACTATTAATGAAAACTACTAATATCTTTGAAAAACTATAAACACCTAATTTTGATAAATATATATACACACACCACCATATTTACTGCCAATATATAACTTTGTAGTTGCAGCACATATCTTCCTTTTCTCTTTTCTCAGTCATATTTGTCATGCAATGTTATTGATAAAAAAAAATCCCAGATAATTCGAAGCTCTACTAATAACCAATTACCTAACAGTATCTGATAGGCAGTGTGCCACGGAGATAAAAAAAACGATCATTGCTCGTCATACTGAATAAATCTCCGATCTGTCAGGATGATTCAGTACTAGTCTTTGTTCAGCTAATCAAATCAAGTCTTCGATCTACCTGGGTAATTCACTATCATCATGCAAATGTATTATTTTCCCAAGTATACTATGGAACTCCATTTAATGATAATAATAATATTAAAGCACGCTATAAAGGCACGGTTGGTGAAAACTCCTCGTTACGAGTACCTCACGATCTATCGAGTCTCTTCTTTCATCAGACATCCATAGTTCTGCCTCCAAGTAGTACTTTCTCATTCTCTGGGGGTCATGGTAGAAGGGGGGAGGTATGGGGATCATGGTAGAAGGAAGGGAAGCATTATCATAGAATGGGGATGGGATAATGTATCAGAATATGGGGGAACATGGTTGAATTGGGAAGGGAATATCATGGTAGGGTGGAGAAGAGACACCATGATAGAGTTGAGGTTGGGAAGAGATCATGACAGATGTTGGCAAAATTTGGGCAGGAATTTACATGTGGCAAGGAGAGGAAAGAGCATCAAAGAGAAAATGGTAAGGAGAGAATTAGAAGCAAAAATTATAATGAATAAGTTAGATATCAAACCACAATACTTAATTATGATGTCAGATACAATACAAGTTACTTTAAAAAAATAATACTCAGTTTCCCTTAACACTCATTAAAAAAGTCATTAGAGAACTTAGGATATTCTAGATTAAATAACCCCAAAATCAATATGATTCTTAATATACAGTAGATACACTTCCTTAGTCCAGTTTTAACTTCAGACAATGGAAAAATGTTTTGGGTATTGTAATGTATGTGGAATTTTCCTTCCCTTTCTTACAGTCTTGAGATTTAATTCTTACTTGTTTCAATACATTGTTGAAGGTGGATCTGTACTGTACTGTATGCACTGTAATGTAATTTGATCTGAAATACTCTCGTTTAACTTACATCACTTTCCACTGTAATTGTATATTTCAGCTTTCTATACAATAAAAATTTAAGTGTTGTAAATATATCTTCTACTTATATGCAACACTAGAACCATAAGCATCAATATATCTTACAAATATGAATGTATGAACAAATTCTCCAACCAATGAATAGAGAAAATATGTTATAGTTCCAATGAGCTTGATGCACAGCAAAACACTAACCTCTATAAAATTGGCAAAGCTGACACATATTGAGGTGAGTTTGGATATCATGCGGAGGAGCTCTGGTGAGGTGAGCATACAATCCTTCAGGCAACCACTCAGGAAGTCATTATGGAATGCTAAAACTTCGTCTACATTCTCCACCTGTTAATAATTACAAGTATTAGAATATATTGTATAAGAAAACACTCGAGAAATGTAGACTGATGCTGAAATCCTATTCTACGATCCGGCAACTCGTGTTTTGAGCTCACTAAATCATTGGTCTAGGCCGAGGATGCATGATTTTAATGGCCGAGATTGATCTTGAGATTTGTCTAACCTCCCCAGCTGCAACAATCACTCTGAAGGAAACAGTAGAAGCAAATGTTTCCCCTCAAGTAACCTAGTGGGAGAAGACCCAATTAAATCATAACCAAACCTAAATTAATGCTTGTAACATGTAACTAATCCCTAAATAACATAATCGAGGAGAGTGTTACACAGCCCAAACACCTGAAATTGCAGTTTTATAATGAGAAACTTAGATTGAGCAGTAGGATCTTGTGTTAATTGGGTCTGTGTGGCTCAGGAAGAAGAGGCTCACATCTAAAAACCATCTGTGACTGACCTGAGACAAAACAATGAGATGTTCACTAATTAATGGCATCACAAGCTTGTTGGGTCTCCTCTCTTATCTTCTCCTTCCCTATTAGTGAAGGTTGCAGTAGGAGAGGACACACTAATCATGAGAGAAGCCCCGAATACTAATATCTTATTGAGTAGATTACATGAGTCACCTACTGAAATAAGAGTTAGTTCGTGAAAGTTTAGAGCATAAAGCTATTAACTGCGTCACAAGGCCCTGGGTGAGGTTATCTTTTCCTCCCTGGGGTTGTCATCTTACAGAAGTTATTAAGCAGAAAAAAAGGTAACGAACATCATTAAAAAGTACAGTACTCTGCTATAATGAGGATGTATGAAACCTACAAAATGGACCTGAGGACGATACCTAGCAGCTTTGTCACTTGTACTTTGTATGTCATTTTCCTGTTCTGTGGAGTCATCTATGTAAGACCATAAAAGTTTTGGTGTTTCATTCTTCACACTAACACAAGCAAAACTGTCACAATATTTAATCCCAATTGAACTTTCACCTTCTATTTCAAAAGTTCTTCCCAAAAAATTCTGGGACATAGGTATTTTTACATTGGTCGAGATTATGTACTGTATACTGTACAAGACTGCTGCTAGGCTGCTGAGCAAAACTAAAGCATGCAGTGCTGGCAAATACTGTTAACTAACAACAAAGAAATTATGGTACATGTGACATCTTACTCATGATAGTCTTACACTTCTCCCACTGTAAAAGTATTGCTGGGATCGATTATCCATGGTACAGCATACAGAATAAAGAGCTTCGGCACTAACCTTCTGCATTTTATTTATGAAAGTCTGCCAGTTGCGCTCTATCACCTCAAACATCATATAGTACTCAATATTTTGAATGAAGTTGAGCATCCGCTGCCTCAGAGCAAAAGCTGCAGTGTAGGTGCGGGAGGCTGACAGTGGGAAGCTCTTGGCCACCTTATTACTGACCCACACTCTGTAACATACAATATTATAACATTACCCTAAAGAAATGTTTCATGAAATTTATCATATAACAAATGGAAAAAGGAGGTTTGATCCTGAAACCTCCCTTTTCTGGCAGAACTTGATTCTTTTTTTTATACAGGGTGCCTTATGAGGTCCTTAGACTGTGTTCCAGCCAATGCTAATACAGTAGTATGTTATATCTGAGTAATACATAATGTACTGTACTGGAACTCTTAACTGCCTAAGCTTAAATTCCCCTGTACCAGAAATAAAGAACAGTACAGTATATGATTTACCTGCAGAGTAATTTCTCAACATGTTTGCAGTAAAAGAGATGTCTGAAGATCATCTGGTAACAAGCTATAGTTTTACGGTCCAGCACCAACGACACTGGCCACGTTACTCGATAGCCAAGTGAGAACCCTTGAAGGCCAGTCAACTGCAGCCGCTCATCTTGTGGGTAATAGTCCCGCTCGTCCTCCGTTTCAATGCTGTTGGACAAGCCAAAGCTTTATAAGTTTGTTTTGTGAAATATTTTTCATTTTAGAAACATACTGACATCACCACAATATATGACTTATGTTTTGGGAGTGAAGGATAACCATTACTTATTACCGATAATATATCACCCAGTCTTAGCTACAAACATCTGACCTACAAACATCCGCCGATACGAAAGTGGTCCCATAAAGCTATTATTATTATTTAAAGGGGATTAACCAACCCAGGCACATTAAACAACACATTATGCCTCCAATATCTTCCTAGGAATTCTTTTCTCAATTGATGCAAAGTACTGTACTAAGTTTTGTATGTAAAAACGGGACAGTATCAGAAGCGCTACTGTGTGTTGTACTTGTCATTAACTAAGAGGACTGTATTTACCAAAGCTATCAACATACCTTAGAATCCTCAGCATTTGGTTCATGAGGGTTATGGGCTGAAGGTCACACTCAATGTCATCTTTGTACAGGTCATAATTGGCTGTTGATGTTCTCAGTGCCAACTCCAGCAAGGATTCTAGTCTTGTGGGCACAACATCATCAATGTTTTTACTCAGTTCATCCTCACATAAGCTCATAAGTTGGACCACAAAATCTCCTTGGTCAAGTAAGAAATAATGCTTCACTGATCTGCAGGGAATAAATAACAATTACAATATCAGGTTAAAAAGAATCACAAGTTGATGAATATACCTGTACTGCAAAAGAGTGATTCTATTCTTGAACTTATATACAACTATGTACTCACCTTAATCTGCCCATGAGGTCCTTTTCCTTCATTAACAACTCCAGCAGTCTCTTGGAGGCAAAGTTGTATGTTCGCTCTATTACCTCAGCGTACGAACAACCACGCACACTGTATACAAGTTCCTCTTGGTCGGGGCACACCACACTACGGTCTACCACAGGGGTATAAAGAGAAAAGCTGAATACGTTGAGTGTCTTTTAAAATTATGCATCAAGAGCAAAGAAGCAAAAGATGTTGGGTATTGCTATTACAAGATTAGCAAGATTGTTAGCATAATTCAGGACATAAACTCTGGATGAATTTTTCTTATTACGGTCTAATTAAATGAGAATGTCATTACTGGAGACGTCTTTAATTAATGCCTCCATTACTTAATTAAAAGGTCTTGATTGGAAATACAGTACACAACTATTTTCAGTATAACATTGTCCAACTGATCATGTACATCAGGGTTGAAGGAACATGGTGGCAGTTGGACCACTGGTTGTGAAAATAAGGATTCAAAAGCTTTCAACCAATCAGAATGAAAACTATTACAGTAAAAGAGTGAAGGTTGAAATCCCATTTTATGACAGAGGGGGAAGATTCATCAGAAGAAACAAGTGACTTGCGAGAAAGATGGCTAAAAAACATCCTAAGACTGAGCTTCCCTTTACCATATGGTTTTGACACGTCTAGTGGCAGGATAAATCACCTATGCAAATAATGTTCTTGCTAAAAGCAGTTCTTTATCCAGTTGATTCAGTGATATGATCCTATCTGACCAGTGGTTGGTTGTCTCAGGATCTGTGCAACTTTAGGTCTTGGGTGGAATCCCATATATGTTTCAAACTGTCTTTGACTCTTAACAGCAAGTTCATACTATGACCATGTCAGATCCAGCCAATCTACACCACCACCCAGAGAGAAGAAGAAATCAGGTCACTTGTTTCTTCCCCTCAGTCACAAAAACAGATTTTATACTTTACTTTTACATTTACAATTTATGGTCATCAATGAGTGACATGAGATTCTAAAATGATTATGTAGTTAAGATGTACTGTACTGTAATGCATTGTTCCAGCTGACAGGCTTGAGTGTGTGATTGGCAATACAATACTCACACGGTAAAAGGTGATGATGCACTTGAACATGAAAACTACAGGAGGCCTGAAGCTGTTAGAGGAGGTCATGAAAGTTGTGGATATGCAATCACTCACCAGACTGTCTGATAACATTAAGGTATTTGCCAGTACGAAGGATGACGTTAGCATGTGCCTGGAGGAATGTGGGAATGTTGTGAGGGATAGTTGAGTACCGCTTCTCCCAGTAATCGTCAGCCAGATCCTCATCCTCGTTCTCTTCGTTACCGCTCTCTCTATCCACAACCATGAACTGAAAATACAAATACATAACTTGAAAGTCATGGAATACCGTGGGTGACAAAAACCAGAAGACTACAGAATTCTTTTCAAAATACATATTTAAATTTTTGAAATTACACACACACATGCATGCATGCGCTCTCTCTCTCTCTCTCTCTCTCTCCCACATACACAAACTTGTTATTATTTGATTAGTGTCAGCCATAAATGTCAAGGGTGGGCTGGCTGTGCTACCTATAGACTTGATGGTTAAAACACAAAAATTTTCTATAAAATGAAATATACTTCAATTAATCATTTTACAAATACTGTATACAGTAGTAATAAACAAAACAGCAACTCACCTCATTATAAGGATCATTTATGATCCCTCTGTAGAGCCACTTGGCCAGCATGTTCATGTACGGGACAGCTGCAGATTGTGTCAGAAACACCATAACATGCTGCAGTTGTCCGCACCCTGTGAGACTGACAGTGCGGTCATGTAGGATGCTTAGAACTGCACCTCCGTGAGCCTCAGACTACTCGGGGAAAAGAGACACCTTCAGACTGATTGGAAAATGTACACATGGAATCATAAGGTTGGAAGTGAAATGTATGAAGTGATAACATTGTGAAAAACACTGGAGGAATCAATATTTTCTTTAAATTAACATCTTTTGGTTAGCTCACAGTTAATCATCCTGGCTGACATATACCTCTGAACACACACACACCATTTTTCTAACTTTACTATTTCTGTTAAATTATCAGCCTTTCATTATAATAAAATTTTTCATGTAATTCTTGTAATATTCTTCCCTTTATAATGAAGAACAAATGGAGTACTGTACTGTACATACCAATAACACAGTACTGTACTATCCTTTCCTTTGTTCCCTTTAATTGGTGTAAAAGATTTGTTCTAGAATGGTGGTTTTTTTCTATAACAGTAGCATCTCCATCTGATTTATCCCTGATGCTTCACACAACCTAATATGAACACTCAATAACAGCATGTCCATGACTCCATTCCAGAACACCACCTGACAGCACCGTGCTCTCCTGCCTGTCATCCTTGTGTACGACTGCTTAATGGCGCCCCAACCCCCTTCACATCTAGTACCATTTACACCCCATCTTTCATTTCCCTTCTTGGTACAGGTATTCCGCTCCTCATTATCATCCACTGTGCTAACTTGCTAACACCACCAATTTAGAATCAAACCCAAAATAAGGAATCTAAGGGGACTTGCCACAAACACCCATTCAGAGTGCAGCACCTTTCCCCCAAGCAAAGTATTGATGTCTAAATCAACCAATGTAAGTTTATATTTAGTTTAGCTGAGGTCTGGTTTAGCAAGGACATACAGTACTGTATTTGGAATTAGATTAAATATGTAAAGAATTGTTCATAGCCTTCAAATTGTATCTTTTTTTAATATGTACACATCACGCAAAACTCTGTATTCATCTGTACACAGTATATACACAATAGACCAGCTAATATGTCTTCATAGATACATAATAAAAGACTTAATTTAGTGAAATGGAAATATAAAATAAGTTAGTGTACCATGTAATAAGCTTCACCCACCTTACTAATGACTCTGGTAACACAAGCCAGCATATCCATGACAGCCATAGTCTTCTCCACATAGAAATAAAGCTTGTGTAGAGTGAGGGCCCAGTGCTGGTGCTGCTCCTCCAGCTGTGTTACCAGCAGCTGTAACACACATCATGTTACACTACATAATTATAAGCCCTTATTCAACCTAGAAATTAGCAGATTGGATATTAAAAGTTATATACTGTAGGAGTTAAAATGCCTGTTATAAACCAATTCAGTCTACTCTTGTTTTAACAAATACTATGCTGAGGCAAATAATTAAAACAATTATAGAACAATGTTTATTTAAAAGCAAGATTAGAAATCACACACATACACACACACACAAATTATTTAAGAGATCAACTAGAAAAACAGACAGTGAAGTGATTGTGAAACGAACAAATCTGATAACTCAAATTAAAATTAAATACTGTACTGTGTCACTGTGAATGCCGAAAATATTCTTCCGTAGGTAAGTTGATGATATGAGCAAGCATCTGTGAGTATTTCTACTTGTTGTCTTCTCTTACCCGCTTCATCACTCACCTCATTACTTCTTTCCCTTCTCCGAGGTTTCTGTAACCCTTGATCCACTCCACGCACACAAACATACACACAAGTGGGAGAGGAATATAAGTTAATTCTTAAGTACATTTTGCTCACCATATAATCTTTGATGAGGTTGGTTATAGCTGCAGACAGAGCCTGATTCACCAGGCCGTGATGATAACAGCTCTTGTTTTCCACAAATCTTATAAGCTGAGAGTAGTAACCACACAAAGGCAAAATGCGACTCACCAGTGTACTCAGAGAAGGTTCTAATGGAAGACATATAAATACAGTATTAATAGTTTTTTCTCATGTATTTTCCACCTATAGTATAATAAAGGGTGAAAAAATCGACAGCAAACACAATCATTGCCGTTATAATGTTAGCACATCGCTTCAACATCCAAGTGTGTGTGTAACAGATAGTAATTACACAAGTCCATCAATAAATAAAAACTACCAGGCCCAATCATCTATATAGTTTATTGGTCACTTCACATAAGCTAGCACCACCCATTGGCAGCAAGTCCACCCCCCAAAACCTTCCTTGACATCATGTCCTGTAGACGGTTAGGTACAAAAGTGTTTCTGGACGTCAATTCTCTTCACTTCTAGCAACATGACCAACACCAATGTGAACATCACTCACCAGCATCAAACCACCTTATAATCTCCAATTTGTTACTCTTGATATAAACTAATGAATGAATCGGTTCCAGCCACTAAACTTAAGGGTTCTCAAGTTATCAATTAGTTGACTTAGTTGTTAATATACAGTGTGAGTAACCAGTGCCATGTGTTGGGGGTATAAAATTCATTTTGGCTTATGTAATATTTTGAACACACTAAACTTTCTGGGTTCCATAAGGGGGTCGCCAATTTACGAACGTCTGACTTACGAACGAACGCCGATACAAACGGGGTTAAACTTGAAATTTACAGTAGTGTATTTACCAGATGACTTTTGCCATTCTATTACAGCCACTCCTCGACTTACGACCTACCCGACTTATGACCACCCGGACATACGACCGCCCCAGTCGTACAAAAAAAATTTCAAATTACATATTTTCGAGTCCCGACGTTAGTGATTGCACTGTGTACTGACAAAATTTTCGTTTGTAATTCCATTTAAAATGGCTGGCATGCCTAAAAGTGAGAGTTTTGTGGTGCTGAGAAGAAAAAGAGACACCCATTTTAGATTTTCTATGTACAGGTTAACAATCCCTTAGCCGAAATCCTTGGGGCCAGAGGCATTTCGGAATTTTTCGGCTTTCAGAATGGTTAATTTCTTTTTTTTTAGCCTACCTGGGCACAAGTCACTGACCCACATTGGGGCCTGGGTGGCGAAAATACAATAACAAGTATAATAATAATAATAATTCATAGGTCTAGGTTGTGTTTCTCACTTTGGATCTTTTTTTTTTCATTCTTGTATTTCGTTATTATTATTATTATCTTATTATTACAGTATTATTGTTATTATTATTATTATTATTATTATTATTATTATTATCATTATTATTTTATTTTGGTGTATTTTTTATTAAAATTTTTATTTACTATGAATAATTATTATTATTATTACATTTTCGCCCCCCAGGCCCCAATGTGGGTCAGTGATCTATGCCCAGGTGGGCTAATCCGTGTTTAAAAAAAAAAAAAAAGTTTTGCCCACAAAAAAACTTTCGGTTTTTAGAGCTTTTCGGTTTTTGGAATTTCGGATAAAGGGTTGTCAACCTGTATTATTTTTGCATTTTCGACTTACGACCAATTTGACTTACGACCAATTCGACTTACGACCAATTTGACTTACGACCTGGAATTGGGTCCCTAACCCCGTCGTAAGTCGGGGAGAGACTGTACTTATTTTGTCTTAAATGAAGTGATTTTAGATGAATATAAGGACTTCATTTTCTAAAGGTTTTAGTGCAGTATTCCTGGAACATGTCTATTTTCTCTTCTTAAAACAATAATTCAAAATTAAGTGATGTATTCCAAGTGTTTATTTTTCAAAGAATGAAGGAAATTAAGATGATAATTAACAGCAATTGTACCCTGAGCACTATTACATACCTACAGAAGGATCAACTGTGAACTCTGGGGCATCATAATGCTTGGCTGGTGGTTGTACTGTGATGTACATTCCTTCAACCCCCATCATCACACTCAACACATCTTCAATCAGCTGGTGCTCCTGTGATGTTGATGCTACATCTCCTGCAGAAGTAATACTGTTTAATTATCAGACTCAAACACTTATATGATGTGATCCAGCTCAAACCAAGAGCTGGCATGTGTGAAACCCCCATTCATATTCTTTGCTATGAAAATATGGCTGATGATCAACTAACCCAGTGCCCCTATCGCTTGCCGATGCTCCAACTTGACAAAATCTAGTGAAAGATAAGGTCTGTTGTCTAGCCAAGTTGGTGTTGGAGGTCCCAGACGCACAGTTCTCTTCTCGCCTCTTTCCACACTGCGCAGAGCTTCACTAGGGGCGTGCATGACCTGGGATTCCCTCAGCAATCGATCTCGGAGCTGTAGAAACATTGAAAACAGAATGACTAAGGATTTATCAACCCCTTCAGCAGCAAGAACATAAAAGATGCATTTGTGGCATGACTGTTCCCTGAAAGAATGAACACAAAACAAAAGTTCTCTAAACTGCATCTTTTTTGCAGGTAGCTCCTGTAATATAAAGAGGTATACCTGAACTAGGAGATAATGAGGCTGTGGTTGATTTGTTCTCTACATAGCGAGCCATGAGTGAGGGGGCAGGAGTAGTGGTTTGCCACTCCCCCCTAAATAGGATGATGGAGAAGGTTGGTACAGCCAATGTTTGACCAATCAGCAACAATAATGCCATAATCCCAGCTCCAAGTTTATGTATCTGCACAAAGCCAGGATTTTCACACCACAAGCACATTTTTAACTGTGTTCAGGTCATCCACCATAGTGGATGACCTGAGCCTGCACCAGTGTTGATCAAATTGGGTCCTAACCCCTTCACTACAGGGACGCCACTTTTAATATCTTATTTGGTTAAAGCCAGACGAATTTATTCAGCACACAGAGACATCAGTAAACAAGGGGTTAAAGAAGCTTACATTCGGTGCCAACACAATGCTCTCGGAAGGTTGGCAGCTATACATGTTAGAAATTATTTTTGTTATGGTTTACCCACCATATTTTACATAACAATGGCAATTCTGGAAAAATCCCGAGCAATGATAACAAATTACGATATACAGTACTACTACTACTACCCATTAGTCACTGAAAGAGGAGAAATAACCCTATAAAAATAAGATAAAACGAAGAGGAGGAAATTATTTCAACACGAATACAGTAGTAATGAAAAACTGGGTTGGCTAAAGGGCAAGTGAAGACACAATTCAAGGACAGGGTAAAGCAATGAGTAAATGTACACCAAGAAGACTTTTCTACAACTAAGGGACTACAGTATTTTTTTGGGGCACATCCCTACATCCTGTGCAAGGTGAAGCGCAGCAGCGCTTACAGCGCCCAACTGGGAAGCATGCTAAGTTCATGCTTGCCTTTATGTCTCATGAGTTAAGGGCGTAGAAGGCTGAAGGGTCATAGGTTTTTTTTTTCCAAGGGCATAGAAGCCTGAAGTCATAGGTTTTTGTCAGTAAGTTATTGGAAGCTCCAACAACTTTCCCTGAATACGAATTCGCAACTTTTCGATTTACAACAGGTACCTATATTACTGCTAGGTGAACAGGGACCAATGGGGGCCAGGAAGTTTGTCCAAACAACTTTCCACCGGCCCAGGAATCGAACCCGTGACATCTCGCTTGCGAGGCAAGAGCGGTACTGCTCTACCACCGGTGCCACGGACTACAGTATTATCAAATATTATCAACTTTGACCATGACCTTTGATTCAGAGTCATGGTGGTTGTATGCCTATGTCATCCAATGATGGTAAATATTTATATAATCTTTGAATAAATCATCTTTAAATTAAAAGAAAATAATGATTACAATATTTTATGAGTAAACAGGACTCTAGCAGTAAGCAGTGTTTGAAGCAGCACAATATTATTGGATCATGAAGGCAATTTCTCTAAATATCATATGCAAACAGAATACTGCACCTCATTGAGCTGATCTTTGGAGAGTTTTGTCTCAGCAGCATGTTCAATATCGGAGACAATTGAGGGGACGGTGGTGAGTGTCATGCCCTCTTCCTGTAGTCTCAACTTGGAGCTGCCTTCTACTGCTTTTCTAACAGTTTCGTCCTCCACCAGACCACTCAGGAACACTACCAATGGGTCCAAGTCTCGAACGCTGGGATTAATTAAGGTCACAAGATATTCTCTGATATGATTTAATATCTTTTACTATCAACTGAATTGTGATCTGTTGGTCAAGTATACATCATTGTAAGAGATTCATAAAGAGAATGAATATTTCTACAAGCAATTACAACACTTGTCAATAAAATAATATCACTCAAGAGTATAAAATCCCTACATCTAATAGTCATCACATATGAGGTACAGTACTACCAATGTTACCAAGACTTGTTATTAATAAATTCATACAGGCAAACACTTACAGCCAGTCCCTATTAACTGTCACGATATGACTGTAATATTCAAGGAACATAAACTTGAAGAAAAAATGAGATCGGCCTTAAAATCCCAATTTAAAATGAGCGGTTTGGGTGACTTGTGTATCTAACTCGACAAGCTTATGGGTTTCTAGCAGGGTAAGACTTCCCTTGTATTGTATAAAGAATTTATCACGAAATCCCATTTTACAATAGTCAGGGTTGAGCAACTCTGTTTTTGTTGATAAGTCTAAGGGGTCAAAATCCTAAGCTAGGGGCCCTTACTTGAGACTGGAATCTAAGAACTGTATAAATCTATTAATTAAGTTTTCACTGCTCTCTGAGGTATGCACCTGGGTACTGGATTCAAAATGGTTATTATCTTTAGAATGATGTGTGTACTGTACTGGCTAGGTAGACAGTAGTCTTTAGACTTCCTGCCACTAAGGGCAACCTTATGAGGAAGATAGACACAAAGGGTAGGGAAGGCTGACAGTAAGATTATCCTCCAGCTGCCAGTTAGTGGTGTGGTCTACTGTCTTACACCCCAAACAGGAGCTATCTAGCAAAAGGCATCAAGCGACAAAAAACTAAAAAAAAGTATGACAGCAAAATTTCAATGAGGCTCTTAGTTACATATACAGTACTTAATTAGCAAGTTAAGGGGGAATAATTAATGTAATGACACTTTCCACTATTATTGGAGAAGAGAGGCAGCAACAGTACCTCGTGGGGCAATTACTCTCCCCTCACAAGAGGATGGCAGAGTTGGGGGAAGAGGCAGTACCCACAGTGCTATCCACAACACCTCATAACACTACCTATACCAGCCTCAACTCAAAGTACAGGTACCATATACTTGTCTCTGAAGCCTGACATAAGTGTGTGTGTGCACTTTGATGATGAGGGTGTTAGGATCAGGCTGCTATGGATATCCTCTCATATTGACCTTTTAAAATGAGAGTTGATTCTCTAGCTAAATGTGTGTCCAATAAAACACTGTTTAATATATTTTAAGACTGTCAAACAGAACCCTAAAATCTGTATTTAGGAAAGAACTTACATATGTGGTTGAAGTTAGCAGACAAGTGCAAACAGGCATTGTCAATACACTATCCACCATGATAAAAAGAATCAATTGAAACGCACTGGGTATGTATGGACCAAGCAACAAGATCAGTACCCCATAAGATGCTGACACTGCTAGACTGAGGCTACGGTACAAATAACTCTGGCAGTATGCCCACGATGCAGATGTGTATAACTACAGGGTTGGAAAAAATCAAATTTTTTTCTCATAAAAATCAAAATAATCGATTTTTATTAAAATCGATTGTTATTTGTTATCCAATTATTCACAGTCCATTCTTTTATATAATAATGCAGGCCTTTTTCTATGTACTATACTTAAAGTTATTATTTGGCCCAACTATCTTTATGAAAGGTTATTATTCACTTGATTGAAAAACTTATCATTTACTGAATTTGTATATAATAATGAAATTTAATCAAATTTATTTTAACTAATATTGCAAGGTAATAATGATGAATAATGCAGTCTGAGTACAAAAATAACTTCATCAGTCTTACATGATCATAATGAATTATAAAAAAATTAAATTCATCCAAAAAATTTACCCAGCTGATATTCCTCACCGTGATAAGGCTCTGGGACAGGTCCAGTAAAAGAACCTGATTAAAAAAGGTTATATTTTATCAGTGTTTATGATACTGAATAAGACTGCTTCGTAATTACTTCACCTTACACTCAGCCTTAGACCTCATCAAGTTTACTGGGAAAGCTCATTGAATTTTTTTTTTCTTACTTGCGGCTCTTGAGTTCGTCATATTTATTAAGGAAAGCTTGTGGATTAGGGGCATTCTCAGCCAGGATCCTCACTGCACTTGATGCTGACACTTGTGTGTTGATGAACCGCTCAACAGATTCACTTAAAGTTTCTGTATATCTCTCAGCAGCATCTGCTCTGATTCTGAAAGAATAAATGTGTTCAAGTCATTACTGTAAACACATACAGTACAGTACTGTACTTACAAGTTGGAGGTCAAGTAGCTCTGGGAACAGTTCTTAATACTACAATACTGTAACTTCACTAGATAATGTCTGCCATTACAATAAATATCCTGTTTTTTCATGTGTCTTATTTTGTTGTTAAATGTTTAGTAATAAATATTTGATACTGCAGTAGCTACTGAACAGTACTTGTCCCACCATAATCATACACACAATAAACTTTACACAACTGTAAGTTTTCCATTACATTAAGGATGGTGGTCAAAACCATACAACATACTGTACAGGTTATTCATGTGTGTATTCAAAATAATAATAAAAATAATATCTATTCCATAAAATTGTCATAAAAGTTTACAATTGGTTTGCCATTTATACATATAATGCTGGGATACATTTCAGCATGTAGAGTACTGTACACAGATATCAGCAAATACCAGTGTACAGTGTAATCAGCTCTGTACTCACCCAAGAAGAGCAAACAGTTCACTAACATGGTGATGAATCTTAAACTCACTCATGATGGCCAAGCTGTCTGCTGCTGAAATATAACAAAATACAATAGCTTAATTTATCATCATCATCATCCCCAAGTATTAATTACTTTTAAATATGTCATGATTCTTAAAGATTTTCCTGAATAGAAAGCTCTCTGTTCATAATAGTCAGTATAGTAAATGTTTAATACACCCTCGCTCTATATTGACCATGAACATGACATTCTAATATTCCACAACTATATTGTAATTAGGGAACGAAATTTTCACAATGTTGGGCTGCTTGAATTGCTGCAATTTGTGGCAAGTCAGCACACTGGTGAAGCGAGGACTATGAAGCCACTAGCTATATAAGGAATGGTTCAGTTGTAGCGACCTGTGGTCATTTCTGCCATGATCACAGCTCCCAAACTCAAATTTCAATTACTGCATTGTATTGTATATAGATATTTTAATGCTACTACAGTGTGGTCTTCAAGATACTTTGGTTAGGTTAGGATAGACTAAAACTATCTTTGTAGACTGCGTGCTATAGTAGCACCGATATTTAATTTGAATTTTACTATCTAGAGGACATTCATCAATGCACTTCAAGTATTTTCTATGCCACCTAAAGTTCTGTAGCTACTTTGAAGAATAGTGAAGTAACACCTTGCACCAGTATCATCTTTCTCCCAGGTATGCTAATTATGGTATCAGAGAAAACCTAGCAGATGGTCGCTTTACCAAGCTATATAATACATGTCCTAACTCGGATAAAAAGCATTTCCCCAATAGCAGACAATACCTAAAGACAATAGAAGCAAAAGTTATAGCGGAAGTGATAGGTTGTTGCCAACATCGCGGACTGACAGAAGAGTAACGTTAACGGTTAACACAATACACAAAAAGGCTGTGTAAATTTTGTTGACAGACAAAAATAAAATAAGAGACTTCTAAAAAACAAGACAACTGCAAACACCATGTTTTCCTCAGAAACAGCAGTAGGACTTGACCTTGGCATGATTCACCAATCCCTTCCTCCTGAGAGTCGTAGCTACACCTATGGTTCATATATTATAAAGTAATAAGACAGCCATGACTAATCACTGACAAATTTCAAAACAAGATCAGATAATTCATGATAGTGACTGTTATAGCATATCCATCGCAATTATTTCAATCATGAAGTAAGACCATGTGAATAAGATGTGAAGAAAATAGTTCATTAAATTTCTAATGTTCATTTACCTTTATTTTCTTGTAAACAGAACGTAAACTGATCACCACCAGCAGACAACTTTACGCGCCATTCTAAGTCACAACAATGTCGCTGTTGCCACATCTCAACTCTGTTGCGACGGTGCCATTAATTACGTCGGTCTACCCCGGGTAAAGAAGTCATCCCTACGTCGTATACAGATTTTCATCCAATTTCTGAACAATTATCAGTAAAGAATAAAGCGAGCGAGCTGATCAGTGGCGAACAGGATAAAAATAAAATAAGTACAGACCTGAGGGCTTTGTACAGTAATTGAACCATCGTAGGTAGTTACCAAGGAATATCTAATAAGGAGGCTCACCTTATTTATTGTAGGTAGTAGGCAGCTACCCAACAGGGAGGTACTACCGCCTGGGAAGATATTGGAAGCATAATGTGTTGTCTAATGGTAGACCCTGCTGCCATATGGCATCACGAAAATTGTGACCAAGTCCCAGGTTGCTGATCTATCTTTCTGCCTCATTTACACATAATTGCAGGGTCTCAACTGTCTCTCTTATTATTGATGTGGGGTTCAAGATGTTTGGTTCACACTCAGGATGGAATGGAGAAAGGAAACTTACAATGTGCTCTCTATATACATGTTGTATTGGATGTACAATGCAGCTTGGTGCTGGGAAGGCAGCATGGTTACAAGCGTGATGTAGAGAGAGCTGGTTGGTGAGGACGCTCAGAGAAGGACAGCTTGTGGGTCGCCATGCTCGCCAGCGGGAGAGAGGACCGCCAGGCAGGCGGAGGAGCGAGGACCGCCAGGCAGCGGCGGAGGAGGTGTGGTGTTGCTGGCTGGTTGGTGTGGGTAGAAAGAGACAGGTCACCACGAGGTCAGGTCTTAAATAGCGGGGGGTAGGCGTGACTTAGTAGTTGACCCCCACTCTGTGATGTATGGCGGCGTTGGTTGACCTAGACCACGAGGCATACACTGGGGAATTGGTGGGGTCGGCTACTCAGCAACAAATGGCGTTTGTAGGGGAGAAATCCACTACATTGACAACACCACAACTAAAACCGTACTCATTCTTGATCTGTTTTATTCATTCTATTTTATTCTCCTATGTCAGTTGATATTACTACTGAAGCGGAGCCTTCTCGGATGGGTCCCACTGGTCGGGAAGGTTGTGGACCCCAGGGCCTACCTGATCATCATCAAGCTACTGGGGCCTCAACTGACGCCACTACGGTTGCTGGAGGATCGGCTTTTTTCACGCTTCATTTCTCCAACATTCGCGGACTGAGATCCAATTTTTCTTCTGTGGAGCACCATCTATTAACCTCTTCCCCCGATCTCTTACTACTCTCCGAACTTCAACTGACCAAAGCAGCTTCACCCAAACCTTTTCAAGTCTCTAACTACAACCTTTATACCTACTTCCGTTCTAAGGGAGGTGTATGCGCCTACTGCAATACACGTACACCTATAGCCCGACTCACGGATCTTGAATCTCCCCTTTATGATGTCATCTGGCTCAAAATATCTCTACCTACTGTGACTATTTTTCTTTGTTTCCTATACTGTTCTCCCAACTCTACCAACTATTTCGAACTCTTTGACTATCTCACTTCTTGCCATGAGTCGTTGCTATCCACACACCCCAACACCGAGATCCTCTACCTAGGGGATTTCAATGTACATCACAGAGAGTGGCTTGGCTCTGCAAGGGATGACCCAGGTGGAGCTGAGGCACTCTCTTTTTCCTTACTTAATGATTTGGAACAAATAATCAAACACCCTACACGCGTTCCTGATCGACACGATCAACTTGCTAACATTCTTGATCTTTGTTTTACCTCTAACCCCTCACACTATTCATACTCAATTTCTGCCCCCTTAGGGTCTTCTGATCACAACCTTATTTCTATTAAATCAAACTGGGCACAACCACCTCCCCCACCCCCCTCTAAACGTCAACTATGGCACTATCGGAGGGCAAGCTGGCAATCCTTGCGAGAATTCTTCACCGACTTTCCCTGGGATGAATGTTGCTTTTCCACTCGGGATGCCTCAGTATGTGCTGACAGCATTGCTGAGGTTATACAGGGCGGTATGAGTGCATTTATCCCATCTTCTACCAAAACTTTCACATTACAATCATGGTTTGATCGCTCCTGCTCTCTTGCTTGCAGGGTGAGAGATAGGGCATATCGAGCTGTGAAACTATCTCCTCCTATTACCCACACCTCTTTCATTACTTCTAGTAATCGTTGCAAGGCTATTCTTCGTAGGGCCAAGCGGAATTTTATTAAAAGAAAGACCGCTGTCCTGACTAATTCTTCCTCTAGTAAATCCTTCTGGTCCTTAGCTAAAAACATCTGTAACAACTTCTGCACGCCTTCTTTTCCTCCCCTCTTCCGTCCCAATAACTCTATAGCCAACTCTCCCCCTGAGAAAGCCAACCTCTTTGGCACCTTATTCTCCTCTAATTCCACCTTAGACGATTCCCACTCTATCCCTCCTACCCCTGCACCTCCTACTGAACCTATGCACTTTCCTATAATCTCCACTCGCAGGGTTGCCGGTGTTTTATCCAGGTTGGATGTGAGTAAGGCGCATGGACCGGACGGAATACCCCCTCGTATTCTGAGGGAGTGTGCTGAAGCCCTGGCCCCTGTGCTTGCTCGCCTCTTTCGCCTTTGCCTCAAAACCAAAACTTTTCCTTCTTCTTGGAAGCATGCCTTGGTTCAGCCCATCCCGAAGAAGGGTGACCATTCTAATCCCTCTAACTATCGCCCCATTGCCCTAACTTCATCCCTCTCTAAGATTTTCGAAACTATCTTGAACTCCCATTTTCTCCGCCACCTTGAACGCCTTTCTCTTTTGTCGGATCACCAGTATGGCTTTCGCCAGGCGAGATCTACTGGTGATCTGCTCTCCTATTGCACCCATCTTTGGTCATCCTCTCTTAGGGATTATGGGGAAACTTTTGTCGTGGCCCTCGACATCTCCAAAGCATTTGACAGGGTATGGCACAAGTCTTTGCTATCTAAACTACCCTCCTTTGGTTTCTCTCCCCCACTTTGTTCTCTTATCTCTAGCTTCCTTGAGAATCGATCCATGGCAGTTGTTGTCGAGGGATCGATTTCTCGCTCTTTCTCTACCAATAGTGGCGTCCCACAGGGTTCTGTTCTTTCACCAACTCTCTTTCTTCTTTTTATCAATGATTTACTTCACACTTCAACTAATTCTATCCATTCTTACGCCGATGATTCTACTCTTCACTCTTCCTCACATTTTCCCCTTCCTCCTAACTCTCAAACTAGATCTGTTTCGAGAACTGATAGCATACTTCTATCAACGCGGATCTGTGCAGCATCTCTGAATGGGGAGATACAAACTTGGTTAAGTTCAATAGTAACAAAACTCAATATTTACCAATTACACTTTGTAAAGTAGACGATCTCCCACCCATTACATTTCAGGACACTATCATCCTCCCAAATTCTGAAATAAATATGTTAGGCCTCACCATTTCCTCCAATATGTCCTGGAAATCACACATCCTTAGTATAACTAAAGCTGCCTCCCGAAAGTTGGGAATGCTGTACAGATGCCGCAGCTAATTCACTCCTGAGCAGTTGCTCCAAGTATATAAGGGATTCATTCGTCCTAACTTGGAGTACTGCTCTCATATCTGGGGTGGCTCTTCTTCTGTCCAACTATTAGATAGGGTGGAATCAAAGGCATTTCGTCTTATTAACTCTCCTCCTTTAGTCGACAATCTCTCTTCCCTTTCTCTTCGCCGCAATGCTGCTTCACTCTCTCTCTTTTACAGGTACTTTAACGGGCAATGTTCAGTGGATTTGGCATCCTGTGTACCGCCGGCAAGGCCGTGGGTTCGTAACACACGTCTTGCCCGCGGTACCCACGAGAATAACCCGTTATAGTACCTCCTTCTTTCCTCACACAGCCAAACTGTGGAATGCTCTGCCTTCTTCTGCGTTTCCATGCTCTTACAATCTGTCTCACTTTAAAAAGCTGGTTTTCCGGCATCTTCGTGGTGTAGATTAACACAGTATAACCTTTTTTTCTATATTTTCAATTTCTTTCCGTTCTTTTTTTTTCGCCCCCCAGGCTCCGTTGTGGGTCGTTTGACCTGTGCTAGGGTGGGCTAATTCCCGTAAAAAAAGAAAAAAAAATCCATTATTTTCAGAAAGAGCCCAAACTTTTACTTCAGAGCCACCTGTTACTGAGGGATTGTATTACTCAGATACTATAACGAACAAATTTGGGGAAACTAGAAAAATGTTAACCGTAATATATATATATATATATATATATATATATATATATATATATATATATATATATATATATATATTTCATTAGCCCAATAAAGCACGCGGACTTCTACATACAATCAACACCTCAACCCGCCAGGGTTCGAACCTACGGCCCACGAGCCCATGACTGTGACCAGGGAACGCTACCTCTGGACCACCAGGATACTAAAAAGCAGTCCTAGACTCTGTTATATTTTAGTGGGCTAATGAAATATATATGGATCCTCGTGTTTCGAAGCCGGATTTGGTAAAAACGTTACTCTGACCACCTAGTGATCCGGACAGTCCCCATTAGAGGATCACGGCCTAGAAAACAGTGCGTTAATGTTCGAAATAAGGCAAACAGAGTATTAGGTTTTATGTCTAGAAGTGTAAGTAATAAGAACATAAGAAAATAAGGGGTTTGCAATAGGCCGGTTGGCCTGTGCATGGCAGCTCCTGTCGAGAGTTACTATCACTCTCTATCATCCATGAATCTATCCAGCGTTCCAGCACTTACTACAAAGTTGCTAAGCTTGTCCCACTCATCCAACACCCTATTTGTAATCCAGTTCCTTCCTATCTCCCTCCTAAGCCTAAACTTATCCAACTTAAATCCGTTGTTCCGAGTCCTATCCTGCTCGGATATTATAAGAACTTTATCTACTGTATATCACCTTTATTGATTCCTTTCACCCACTTAAATACTTCTATCATATCTCCCCGCACTCTTCGTCTTTCTAGGGAATGCAAGTTAAGTTTCTTTAACCTATCCTGATATGGAAGGTTTCTAAGTCCCGGAATCATTTTCGCCATTCTTCGCTGCACCGACTCTAATGAATTGATATCCATTCTATAATAAGGGCACCAGAACTGAACCGCATAATCGAGGTGCGGCCTGACTAGCGCAAGATATAGTTGCAAAAGAGAGTGGTAGTAACTCTCGACAGGAGCTGCCATGCACAGGCCAACCGGCCTATTGCAGACTCCTTATTTTCTTATGTTCTTATATGCATTAGGCTCAGGGCGATGGTACGGTGTATTTATTATGATCCGTTTACACTTAAGGGCTTCCGGGGATGAAGTTCCGTGTTTTTTTTAATTAAACAACATAGAGGAGAATACAGTATATGTTAGTAAGATGGTGTAAAGTTCAACGTACATCCTGAGCACTAAAGATAAAAGCCTTGTTTGTTGTCAGACGAACATCCTATTCTTTGTTTAAATTATACTGGGATTGTGGAAAGAACGAACTATTAATTTACATGTAATTTGGACATTATTTATTAAATTAAATTATAGTTGGATAGGAATAAAAAGGGTAGAGGTTAGATCGATTCAACTGTAAGGAGGGAAATTCTAACCTACTGTACAGTACTTATTTGTTCAATGTGTTTAATTATTTATCATGAACCCCGAGAGAGAGAGAGAGTGAAACGTGACATGTATACAATACAATAATGTGTAACTTATTTTACGGTCTTCTAAACCTCACCAACTCATAGTAAATCTCTGTCTATTCACCAGTCACAAGGAAGGACCTACGATGTTGACCAATGAAAACATGACAAGCTGATATGAGGAAAAGGTTTTGAATAGGAGCGGACCATCTTGGTTGGCCTTGAAACGTTTTGCCTGTATCTAGCTCCTTTGTGAAAGTTGACGATACACTATAAAAAGAAGTGTGAGTACAGCGGGACGATCAACACGAAACGTTCTGTGCGCGCCTGGTCTGGCGGCCAAGTAGAGTTTGTTTGTTAACTCTACCACACAAACTTGTTGACTGACCAAAAATACCACCAAGGATATTTGCCTAATGGCGATAATTATTTACTTTTGAACTGTTCACTTACCATAGACGAACATGTAGACAATCATAATAAATATAAATTAAAAGTTTCATTAAAAGTTAACTTAACCTACTTTAGGTATAATTTTACTTAAGATAGTAAACGGCGTCTTAAATTATATGGATTAAATTATAATGATTATGGATATTTTCACTGATTTATAGCAGCATAAAACAAGTTAACCCTTTTAGGCAAACACAATTATTTCTTAAGGCTTAATCGGCACTCCCTATTTAGTAATTATTCTTGTACTGTAAACAAAATGCTTATTACAAATTCCCCCCAAAATTCATGTGGTTATATACTGTATACAGGGTTCCATGCAAATAGTGTACAGTTATTTATTTTACCTGGGGATAAATATTTCTCAATATTAGATTATAATTTAAAGAACAGTAAGAATATAATAGAATCTAGTCTAATTAAGTATACTGATATTGGATCATATGAAGACTCACCTGAAGAATCTAACCTAACCTAACCATTATCAGAATATTTCAATTGATTAGGAAATTGATAAGTCGTATGTAATCACTACTTGTCGGTGAGAGCGTGTGTTGAATGTTAAGTGGGCGTGTTGAATGTTAAGTGGGCGTGTTGAATGTTAAGTGGGCGTGTTGAGTGTGAAGTGGGCGTGTTGAGTGTGAAGTGTGCGTGTTGAGTGTGAAGTGGGCGTGTTAAAGTTAAAGTGGGCGTGTTAAAGTTGAAGTGGGTGTGTTAAGCGTGAATTGGGCGTGTTAAGTTGAAGTGGGTGTGTTAAAGTTGAATTGGGCGTGTTAAGTTGAAGTGGGTGTGTTAAAGTTGAATTGGGCGTGTTAAGTTGAAGTGGGTGTGTTAAAGTTGAATTGGGCGTGTTAAGTTGAAGTGGGTGTGTTAAAGTTGAATTGGGCGTGTTAAGTTGAAGTGGGTGTGTTAAGCGTGAATTGGGCGTGTTAAGTTGAATTGGGTGTGTTGAGTGTTGCTAAGTCAGGCTTCATACACTCTCACGTCTGTCACAACACTGTCAACAACAGGATATGGCGCAATTTTTTGGATACTAAACAGAACAAAGACAATGATTCCGTAGTTGAATACACGAGGATACGTAGTAATATAAAGTTTAATTATAGGTTAAGAATTCATATTTCTCACTCTCCTAAACTGAGCAGTTCTAACAAAGCATGTATTATGTTAGCTTTGGTTAGGTTAGGTTAGCGTTGGTTAGGTTAGATAGAAACTATTATCATTTCATAAGAAAGTTAAACATAAGTATTTTTTAAAGTATCGTCGGTTACGCAGCCACTGACAAATTTTAACTGCTTTAGAGTGACCGATACGTGAGCTTAGCAACGGTCTCTCAGAATCTAGCGTATAGCTTCTTGCTTCACAAAACAAAAGTCCCGAGATTCAAAATAAAATTATTGCATATTATTATATAATATTGCATATTATATCACAAAGACAGTGATATACGTACAATGATGTTCCGGGTGTTAGAGGTGCGGGCTTTGCTTGGATATCCTTTGTTTATTTTTTTTTATTGTGAGTAGTACTTTGACTTTGAGGAGGTTTCCGAGTGATGAGTTTGGTGAGTACATAGCCAGAGCCGCAGGGAGATGTGGAGTGTAGCAGAGAGAAGTTAACCCTGAAAATTTTAAAGACTTTTTTTTTTACGGGAATTAGCCCACCCGGACATAGGTCACTGACCCACATCGGGGCCTGGGGGGCGAAAATGTTGTAATAATAATAATAATAAATAATAGTCATAATAATTCATAATAAATAAAATTTATGATAAAACAAACAAATATAAAATAATAAAATAATGATGACAATAATACAGTAACTGTAATAATAATAATAATAATTTTATTAATAAAGAACTATAAATACAAAAAATGAAAAAAAGATCAAAAGTGAGAAACGATATATGTATGTTGTGTTGTCAATGGTAAGAGAAACAATTGAGACCCTGCAATTGTGTGTAAATGAAGCAGAAAGTCAGATCAGCAACCTGGGACTTGGTCACAATTTTCGTGATGCCATATGGCAGCAGAGTCTACCATTAGACAACACATTATGCTTCCCAGGCAGTAGTACCTCCCTGTTTGGTAGCTGCCTACTACCTACTACCTATATTTGTTTGTCAATGAATGAATTATAGTTGATCTCTGAATTATATAAAATCGTCTTGTGTTAGCCAAATAAACTATGAAAAGTGTTACCCCCTGTGATGGAAGGTGTTTTAAACTTTAATGACAAGTTATATATAACAATACAGGAGATTGGTGTCGGAGTGACGAAGGCGCGCACCTAGCTCTTGAAAGTGCTGGTAGGTCAGCGATAACGAGCTTGTATCAAACTTGGGTAATTCGGTTTCTTCCTATACTAACTAACAATGGCTAAAGAAGATCGTAAAGAAGAAAGAAAAATGCTGATTTTACCTTGTTTTCACCTAATGGCCACCCACTAGAGGTGGCCATGTGTAGGAAATGATAAATTAGTGGACGTTTTCATTACTTTTTTCATCTTTTAAATAATTGGTGAAACTTATGTTAGGCCGTTGCAGTGTGAGCTGATGTACCATTTAAGCGTATTCAAACCGCATTCACAGATAATCATAACTGAATGCTGTATCTCTACTCATCATTAATGGTGATCTTTGACTCGTGAAGAATCTAGAACAGTGGTCCCCCAAACTAGGCGCCCCCGGAACTATATTGTGGAGCCCACAAGGGTACAGTAGAAAATTGAGAAATATTTGAAAATCTTTGTCAGAGTGAAAATAATGAAAATATGTAATAACTTCATACTACTTTAGAGAGAGAGAGAGAGAGACTTGCCTTTGTCCCTAGTCTATATAGAGTAAGGACGTGTGTAGTCGGCGCTGCCCGCTAACGCGGCCGTGGTCTCTTGATCATGGAGACAGCTGCCAGCCCGGTCTGTCGGGCTCTCCCCTCCCCAATCTCCTCCTTCCCATCTGGATTTATCAACATCCTCACACCAACAGTACAGTGCAAAGATTGACGATCAACCCACGAGTGATATACAAAAGTGGCAATTTTAACTCGAAGGAAAAGCACAAAAACACAGCAATACTGAGTGTGGCTGGACCTGACCTAACCTGACCTGACCTCACGGCTTCACCTGACCTAACCTGAAGGATGGAGCACACCTGCATTGCCCCAAGCTACTGTCCTGGCCATGTGGCCACACCCGCCCAACCCGCTCCAGCCCAAACGAGCACGAACTGATTGCTACAAGAACAGCACAGTCCCAACCATTGTAAAAATTATCAACACCTAATTATTATATATCATATTTGTATCACTTATGTTACTTGTACATCATTTGTAAATCAAGAGACCCATTCCCCAATTATATAATTGTATATTTTCAGCCTTCCGGCTGCCATGCTTTTTCAATAAACCGTTAATTATTATTAGTTTATCTACCCCAGACTGGGCCCAGAGATAGAGCCAGTTTTCTCACTACAATTAGATATATTTATTGCTCGTTTTAAGAATGCATGATCCAAGGCGCCTTCCATTATATTTACAATGACAAATGTTGCCCAGAGCCTACAAAAGGTTGGGGGACCACTGGTCTACAATGTAACACGTTTATCTTCGTCATGTACTGTAATCCAGTTAGATTTACCATATTTTAGTCAAATAATATATTTTTCTATTTATTTAACATCTTTAACGCATAAATCTTAAGATGTTCTCGTTAAACTTCAGAATATGGTACAAGTTCTTCATCAACACGTATTTATCACTTGAATGTTCTGAGCAGACTCTACAGGAAGTATCACGTTACTCACGTGTCCACCTATTGCCACCATCCACGTCATTGTTTCGATCCCTTCATATGGCAAGTCTGTTCTCATTGGTCAGCATTGTACCTCTTGAGGGCTGTGATTGGTACGCTCTCTGATGGTGGCATCACCGGACAGAGCCCTCTTACGGTCCCATTCTCCCCCTCGCAGCCTCGCTCATGCTGGCGGCCCGGCGGATCATCACTCACTAGGCGGGAGTCGACTTGAACGGACGTTACATAGAACATAAGAAAATAAGGAGTCTCTAACACTCCTCGCTCTCCGTCACTGTGATTCCTCTTTGGCCACCAATTTGATAAAGTAAGTAAGTCACCATTTCCTTAAGTAATGTTCTGGTGTTGGATCATGTGAAGGTTAGTAGGTCCCCACCCCCGCTTATTTCACTTCGTGATTATTTAAATATGTAAACGCTAACGTATCCTAACTTAACCCCCAAATAGCGTTAGTGTTTTTCACTGAAGCTAGTGTGCCTAAACTTCATGTGGGCTTAAGTATTAGTGATAATAAAGTAATTTACTGCTGCCTATTGGCACGCATGTGGGCGATTAAGTTTCAGATTTAACTAGTTAAGTTAATTTTAAATTTTTCCAATTAAATTAACCTGAATTTTTGGACATTAATTAAGTTAAGATTTTTTCGATTAAGTTAACCAGTCTGTGTCAAATTTGCGTAGGGTAATTTTCACGTGGATTAAATATCTTAATATCCTGTAAATGTTTTCCAGAAGAGTCAATGAATACTGTAGTTTGAATACGTGAATAGTCAGGCAGTCTGGCATACTACTTCCTTGGTATGAATAAGTCTTGAGATAAAATAATTATAAATTCTTAACTTTTTAAATTTTTATTCAACAGTTTTCCACGTAAATAATTTCATTATTTCAGTGTGCAAAACTATGTAAGACTTTCTTTCTTGAAAAATTAAATCACGATAAGATAACAATTCTGCATATAAAAAATAATATTCGCAATGTTTAAACTCCAACTTTTTCATCAGATGCTTATTACACTTTATAATGCTAAATATATTGGATACTCACTGGGCGCAAGGGTTGGTGTGTTATATATTATTTGTTATTTTTCCTGAGGAATTAATTGATAATTAGTCGAAGATATCAATTTGTCAAAATTTCGATAAAGTTCAATTAAACTTATTTCAAAAGTTAACTAGTTAAGCTAAATTAATTAATTGCCACATGCCTGTTAAGACTGCATTTATGAAAATTAGGGGATTTTTTTATTACTGTAAGTATTTCTTAATCAGGTTTGTGTAGGTAAACGCTGCCAGTTGTCAGGTGTTTGGGCCGTGTAACGAGCGACCTCTGGAGTTACGCCTTGACAAGTTTATGTTGGCCACGTGTTATTACTATACATACTTGATGTTCGCTAAAACTGAACCACATGTATTGCTTCTTAATTATTTTGAAATATTAATTTATATTTTCGGTATTATTGCATTTACACACCGTTCACTCCTACCACTAATCTATTATCATATTCGAATAAGACGTCTAATTATAAGATAATTTTCATCTATTACATTACCGGCGGAAATGTATAATAACAGAGATAGCTTTTCCAAATAAATTTCTATTTTCTTCCATTATTTCCCGCCATTATGGTCTGTCTCACCCAACACTGCGTGTTTCTCGCGTCTCCTTCAAAATCATGACGCGCATGCGTACCCGTACACGTCACGCGGCCAATCAAAAGCGTTTTTGCTAATTCAGAGTATATTTGGCCCAATCAATATCGAGTTTTATTTTGGATCTCATATTTTGAAATGCAAGTTCAGTTCCGACCATGGAAGTCTGCGATGGATGTCACTTAAAGTATATGGAGCTGATTGCGAGTTTTTTAAAAAAAAACGTAGAAACTATAGCATTTTTTCGATCGCATGGTGTTCTTCCAACCTCAGTAAAGTGTACTAAGAGCAAGACGGAATGTAAATATCGCAGACCAACATATGTGGCGTTGGGTAAGAATCCCAGAATGCAACAACGAACCAGGCCAATAAGGTAAGAAATAGGTGATTCCATCATATGGTGAGAGTCAGATGTTAGGTTAGGTTTTGATTTCTAGTGTTTTTTTGTGTATTTTTTAGTCGCTTAGCCACTTTTTTTCGGAAAACGTCAAACGAAAAAAATCGCCTTCGGGCTGCAGAACTTTTTAAAAAACCCGTTAATTATTTGTGAGAGGTTGGAGTCATAGACCACGTTCTTTGTAGACTTTATTCTAACAGCGTCAGCTGGTGACTGGCAACCGGGCGCTGCCAAAGACAAGCCCCCATCTCAACATGGGAAAACATATCGTACGATGGTACAATCTTACATCTCCCCCCCAAGTTAAAAGGAAATGACAATGCACATTTGAACTAACAAAAGGAAAACAATGCATTCATAAAAACAACAATAATGCAGGAAAAACCAGTCAAACAAAGGAAAAAAAACACCTCTAAACTGATTTTACATCACATACACTACACCACGTAGTCCGTCAACCAGCCCGGAGGCCTACGGCCTCTCCTGGGCCTGGCCGCGCTCGACTGGGAAGGGGCCGTGGGTGCGAAGGAGGGCGCGGGTACGGAGGGCACAGCAGAAGGGGGGCCAGGAGGCACAGCTTGGTGCACCACCGGAGTAGTAGGCACAGGTGTGGAGCCGTTTCGCAGGTGGCGTCTGTTGCGGATGGACACCCTGCCACTGCCACTCAACCTGACGGCATACTGCCTGTGAGGGCGGGCTTCCACCACTATGCCTGTCCTGTCCCAGAGCTTGGTAGCTGCGTCCTGCACACGCACCTGCGTGCCCACGACTAGGGGAGCCAGCTGGCGGGATACCTCCCTCCGCGACAGGACCCCATCCTGGGTTTCGGCCAAGCGCACCTCCCTCATACGAAGTGCCCGCCGCCAGTGCTGGTCCACGCCTGTGCTGTCCTGTCACCGGAGCTGGCTGACGTGGCAAGATGGGCGGGCGACTTGTTCACCCTGCAAGCGTAATTCCCGGGTACTGGAGGGAGCTGGATGTCTATCGCAGTCCAGGCTACCCCCAGGCCCAGTGTTATCTGAGAGCCTCTTGGCAGCCTTGACCCCAGCCTCTGCCCTGCCATTGGACTGAAGTGGGCCGACAGAGAGCGCACCTCGACCCCCATGACGAAATCTGTCATCTCAAGGCTGGCAGGTTAGTACTGCACCGCTTCGTGGGGGTCAATTTTACCTCGTGCGATATTAGGCCCGCAGACTGGCGATGATGATTTTTTCCAGAAATTGGCCTCGTTGGGGAAATGGGCGATCTCCAGCCAACAATCGGTCGGTCGCGCCCCAGAATGGGCACGTACCTGCAGGTGGAACGAATCCGGCCACCACTTGTTGAAAAGGATAGTCTGGGCGCTGAGATTAAGGGCAACTCCGGGAGGCTGGAAGGGCGTGGGTCTCGCCGACGCTTTACCGGGACGATGATGCACCGGTCACCCTCCATATGAGCCAATAGACGAACTGCCGGGCCGCCTGAGCATTAGTCGAGGCCTGGTGCCCCACATGCAGGTTAACGGCGACCCGGTGGCGGGAGAGTCGGGGATGACCCGAGCGCGCAGCCCTGGTCAAAGGTGTGGAAGTGACCAAACCCCTGACCACGTAACCTGTCCCTCACCGAGAAGTACGGGCGCAGACAGGCTTTTATCACACCACGACATGGGGTGGCTCGGTCACCCGCCAGCACCCTCGTGCCCAGAATCCTGGTACTGGGTCGTCGCCAGCCGCTTTGCACCTGTGTCTTCGTCCATAGTGATGCACACCATCCTGATCCGTGCCGTTGCTGACTGCACTGCAGCACTGAGTCCTCCTCTTGATTATGTCCTCCGCATCGGCGCCCGCCCTGAGAGCGAGATAGGGCGTCAGCTGCAGTTCACTTCCCTGGCATGTTTGACCATGGAATGGTACTGCAGGGTCTTCTCCTTGAGCCTGAACAGGCGCGGATTCGCACCATCGTGAGGCTCTTCCCCTATAAGCCAGCTAAGGGGCGGTGGTCCGTCTTCAGAATGAGGTTCAGGCAGCCAGGAGGAGAACAGCCTGGCCTTTAACGCAGGCACCACACCACAGCCAGGGCCTCCCCCTTCTACTGCAGCACAGCCGGCCTCAGCCGTGCTCCAGATGTCGGCTACCACAGGAGCCAGCCACCTCCTCTGCAGCAGAAGGACGTCTCTGGAGAGGCACAGGCACAGTATTGTTGCAGGACGAGCAAAGCCGATGCCCTCCTGCTCCAATCAGTGACAGCTGCCGTGAGCCTGTGGATTTATTAAGTAGTACACCAAGCCGTCTCTGTGTGACAGATGGTGTCCTGGGCCTGGCAGAAACTTGAGCCGCAGCTAGTCGTCCCAATACACCTGCTTGCCCACTGGCTAGCAGGAGCTCACGGGGACTCCATCCTGATTACGTGGCAGGAAGAAACCAACGGTAGCAAGCCATGCCAGGACCTGATGTCAGTGATTGATGGCTGATCCGGCAAGGAAGTCGCCGATGGCTGACAGACGTTGGGCAGTGGGCTGGTGAGGTCCCCACCCAGGAAGGAAACCCACAAGCTCAAAACTGCAGAACAAGAACTTTCTGGTTTCAGTGTGATACCTGTGCGGCGCGGGTCTCGAAAATCGTAAAGTGTGCCAGAACACTTTTCACACTGGCGTCATAGAGAGTGTCATCCACGCACTTGTACTTGCAGGGCACATCCTGAATCGCGTCGTCAAACCTCTTGGTGTAAGCATCTGACGCTGAAACGTATCCCATGGGCGTCCTGCAATTATCAAAAGCAGCCCGCGGCGTGATGAATGTGGTCAGGCGTTTACTCTCCCTCCAACTCCCTTGATGAAATCCCCAAAAAGGCGTCGGCGACGGTTTTGAACAATTACTTTTTCGCTTTTAGACGCCTGCATGTCCGAATGGTGCAGGTGTATAGTGCGTCTCCCTCGGAACAGCTTGCATTGAGGCGTTGAAGTCCACAGTGCGCCTGGGCTGACTGTTTTCTATAGCCACCACGACCATCCTGGCGCACCACTCCGTAGCCTCACCAGCAGGCACTGGCTGGATAGCGCCTCTCCTGGCGTCCTCCTCCAGCTGGTCCTTCACCTCCGCTTCCCAGTGTTTCAGAACGAGGAAGCTGGCGGGTGTGTGACATGGCGTGGGGATCGTGCCGGGCGTCAGCAGGTGGATATGGTAGAGAGGACCAGTGCATGACTGTGATGGGGACCTGCTGGTGACCAGATCGCAGTGAGCAAAGTGCGTGAGTAGCCATGCCTCCAACCTGGCCACATTCTCCTC